AAAGTAGTAAAAATCTTCAATCAGTAAAAAAAAAAACCTTTGGGGAAAAGATAAGAAACGAAGTAGCTCATTTCCTAACAACCTTCGTGAAATGAATTCCGGGAAGAGCTGCAAAATCATGAAAGCTCTTTCAAATCATGCAGAGAAGTAAGTCCAGCTAACAATAAGCGACTTTTCTTCTTCATCTTTTCTTACAATTTTCCATCTTCTTTCCGTCACACTTTGCATGAACATCTGATTTTAAGGAAGAAACTCACCCGCACGGAAGAACCGGAGATTGTCAGGAAAATGAATTCGAAGAATAGAATTCTCACACTTCTGTCAGCTCTTCGACTAGTAGGTACATATTTCCTTTTTGATTTTTATTCTTGTTTCATACGGGAAGAAAATTGAATTAAGAGTATTGATTTTATACTTTATTTTTAATCTTTTTTCCCATATCTTTCATATTTTACTGATTCACTACTCTGAAGTTACTTCAAATTCTATTCTTACAATTCCAATAACTAAGTAACAATACTTTATTCCAAATTAATAATAATGATTTTATGCATTAAAAAAAATATTAAATGCTACTTTATGAATGTCTGACTAAAATAAAATAATACTACTTAAGACAAATTTTTAATCAAAATAATTACTACTTTGAGAAATAAATAAATTTTGATTAAATAATATTTTAATGGAAGAACTTTAATAAAAGAATATTATAATTTAATGATGAAATGAATTGCAAAGATACCTATTGTATATTTTTAAAAGTCATAAAGAAGTTTGAAGTAAGCTTATTAGACCTCTTCAATCTTTGTTGACAGTATTCATAGTCCTAATTACCCAGAAAGTATTTTTAATATATTTTAAGAATATTGCCGAAATCTTGAAAGATAATGAAAGGGGAAGTTGAGGGATTTTAGCCTTGTACCGATGGTCGTAAATCGAGACGAAAATGAACAGTTGGTGGGGCCCTTCCTCCTTTAAAATGCTCCCCGTGGTAAAATAAATTGGCGCTCGCGTGTTTACATGCTGGCAAAATTAAAATTCCTCAAGTGTAGCAAAGCAGCCGACAACGAGCCGAAGCTGCCCGAAGGAAAGACCCGTGTTTAATTAATGACCGGACTAATTAAAACGCCTAAAGAAAAATATTCGCCCGGTGTGTCGACGAGTGGCGGTGCTGAGTTTCCGACGAGTGCACCACTTGAAACTGCGTAAGCTCCTGCACACTCACTCTACATTTCTCTTTCCATTTCACTGTTAATTCACTAAAGCTATATGTATACGTGACACCTCCGTCACTCTGACCCTTTTCATCCGTTGACCCTTTTGCCTTATTTGACACAGCTATTCCATGTAATAATGCAGTCCATTTCGTCTACTACGACATCAAATGATTTTGCTAAAATATTATATATTTTAGTGGCGCTGCTTTTTATGGGCTTTTAGGTAAATTGAAGAATAAAATGGAACATTTTTGCTCCTAAAAAGTCATTATCATAATCAAAGTTTATGAGAAAAATAAAGATTATTGGTCATTTTAATTAACAATGAGAAACAGAGTAACTCGATCGGAGATCAATATCCTAAAGAAGATGTTAATTTATTTTTATTCAGTGAATTGAAAATGATAATAAAATACTTATTGCTCGACAATAGAAAATTTTAACTTGACCCGAATAAATCGAACATTACAACAAACTTTGTGAAACTTTACACCAAGTTTCAAATTATTTTCACACTGCATAAAATACTTTGTAAATTTTTCTCTCCAACACTTCGTAATTATTTTCGATAATAAAAAATATTTAAAACATCTATTTACATTTAAATTTAAAAAAACAATTCAATTCACTCGTTTCGAACCGTTATTTTACATTTAAAAGGTCCGACTAAAATCAGGCAATACTACTTGCAATCATTCTTTGCGTAGAAAAATTATCTCCAGTGTAAAAAAAAATTTTTTTTGCATATAAAATACGTTCTCTATAGATTTAAATATGACCCTATTCTAAAATTCTGAATATGGCCCACTTAATTCTAAAGAAGAAGGAGAGAAGATTGCTATGGCCATATTCCATGGTTCCCTAGGTATCTCTACTACTACTACTTGCCTCCGACTGGGCCATAATATGAAAAGATATTAAACACTTGTGAGAAAGAGTTATCAATAACACTTGTAATTGATCATAAAATTATCATAACGATGAGTTGGCCAAATTGAAGGAGCTTGGACCCTCGAGAAAATGAGTGTAACACATATGATATAGATTGATATAAATTGGCCGCTATAATCGATGGTTATAGTTTTTTTATACGATTTTCGTCCGTCAGGTAGTAATCTCCAAAATAGGATGAAAGAAAAAAAAAGCTTCGGGATGAAACTGTATTGTAGCGTGGATTTGACAGGCTGCCTGCGTTTGATGAACGATCGATGTCGTGGTAGTAAAACCAATTTATTATGCAATTTACCGTAGAGACAATGTAAGCTCGTAAAACAAAGTCCCCATTGCTAGCGTTCGTCCATCGATAGCGTTGAAGATAATCCCACAAGCGAGCCGCAGGAATTGCATCCGTTTGTTTCGATTCGATTTATTTTCATAAAAATAACAAAATAAAAAATTCGTCAGCACGACAGAAATGTTAGGGGGCTATAATTTATACAGTCAATTATAAATATCATATGTATGTACTTATTTAGATTATCTAACGCTGATAAAATTGATTGAAATATCATATTACATATATTTATCAAAAGCACTGGTTGCTTAGCTTTTTGATGCTATACAATGTCATGATAAAATGTGCAAAAGAATATTCTATTACAGAGACAAATAAAAAAATTTGCTCTAAAAAATTGATATTTTTTATAAAGTAATTAATTCATTCATTAATATCAAATAAAAAGTATCTATAATTGAAAAAAATTTATTAATACTATATTAGATATTATTGAATTCTGTTTTTGGACTCAATAGAAGTTAATTAATTTATTAGATTATTATTTGAATGGACCAATTCAATGATTGTGGGAAATCATGATATATCAAATTTTATCGAACTCTTGATGGTTAATATAAATAAATGCATAATAGATTTTGCAATTGCATCTAGCTAAACTTATAAATGAAAATTTTTTCGAATAATAATTTCAATTATTCTTGATATCTAATTAATGATTTAGTGTTATGAATTCGCCAATATTAATATGTATATATTTTCTACTGAATAATTTATAAAACAATGTGATATCATAACCCGAGGTATTATGGCTTTTTGAATAATAATTCAAATGAAACGTATCAATAATATGTTAAAAGAGAGATAAATAAATTATTTTATAATAGTTTTTTATTCAATCATTTTTAAAAAATAATGTTTTTTGTAAAATATTGAGATGAAATCCTATATAATCCACAATTATCTAATTCAACATAAAATGGCACAAATTTCTAGCACAATAACTATGACAAAGTACTTTTGTGGACTGTGTCCTATGATACAACACTCAGAAAGTGACCCCTCAATTTGATCCACTTGGTTAGACTATATACAGTGAAACAACGACAGGGATGAACAGAGTTACTTCAATGACATTTTCGTTTGCCAAGTACTTACTCAAGCACGAAAGTGGCATGTACCACGAGCCGTTGAGGCAAACGGACACTACACTGCCATTTCTCACGTAGTCCTCACAGCATGTACAAGTAAGAATACTGTTTCTCTGTATCTAGTTGCCTGGAACTTTGCTACATGATAGAGAGTCGTAGCAAGTTCGTAACTTCTACGTATATTCACTACTAGTGGAAACAACCAAAATGAATAGTAAGACTGACTGAGCCACGAAATTATTAAATAAATTCCTTATGTGAAGTTGAAATTTTTCATTTACATTTAATTGCTTAAATTCTTCTCTACAATTTATAGAAAATCTTTGGAATTGTTAATTAAAGTTAAATTAACATTACTCGAATCTAACTTGCATCAGTTTGCAAGTTTTACTTGGAAGAATACTTCACTCATATTATACTACTCTTTGCAATCTTTCTCTTTCTCATTAAAAAATATCAAGAAATGACTTAATTACTTTTATTAAATAAACAAACAGATAAATAGTGATACTTTAAATAGTTTTGATCACAAAAACAGCTTGAATAGAATGTCAACAAATATAATTGAAGATAACTTCAAAGAAATGACAACTATACTCTTTGAATACGTTAAAAGAAGCTTGAAAACTCTAATGGAAATATTGAACTTGAACATTTTTGGTTACTAAGTACTTCTATACTTCCATTATTATAAAAGGTAAATGCTCAGATTTTTTTTATTTCCATTATTTCTATGTCTCGATGGCTGCTCTACGAATTTCCATAACTGCCAGTTTGTTCCGGTTTCCTATTGTTCCTCCAGTTATATTCTTATGAATGTTTTGAATTGGATTCAATAGTAAATGTATTCCTATGATTATTACTATTATTATTACTTCCTTGATAATCATTTTGATCTATCATGTAGATTGGAATCTAATAAATTGGCCATGTAATAAAAAATTTCATATCAGCCAATATATAAAAAGTAAATTGACCAGTGGTATCATCATTTCCAATAGCATTTGATCTCCTCAAATTCAACATCTGTACCTGAAGTCTTTGACCATCATCAGTATTACCATTCCCATTAAAATTATCTTCTGACAGGCGTCGTCTTTCTATCGTTCCCCTGGTAACCACTTTGACCTGTTAGTCTCTTTCCCACTTCAGTGTGATTACCATAGTAACCCTCTTGTTCTGCAGACAACTAAGGTGTTCCTCTACTATTCTACATCCCTAAATGGACATTCTAAGATAGAAATCATCTTTTTGATCGATTGCCTTCATTTTCACTAATTAAACGTCATCAAACTCATTACATTCCTTTTCCCATTGGTTATAACAAATGCATTCTCATTACATCACCGGCTTAGATCACACTGTATGCGCTAGTAGTATCAACATTCATTAATTACCTGTCAATTGGGAAAAATAATTAGGCAATAAATTAAATTAATGAGAAAATGGCTAGCTTGTTGTATATCCAGGGTGCAAAAAACACGTTTAGAATACCTGATGGATTACATGAATTGTGTAAAACTATTTCTTATGAGGTAAATTTATATGTTTACATTATTGATTTCCCACACTCAATATTGTTTCCATCAATCACACAATCGTTTAATGGTCGTCTCGTTTGTTCACTATTGAGGTACTGCGTACTCAACCGACAGATATTTATCGTTTTATTGCAAACTATCTCGATAAACTTTTCGCCAGACGAGAGAGTTCTAAAGGTGAATTAAAATTGTTTTATTCCCGTTCATTACTATTCAATTTAATCAATAATTTGTTCTTCATTTAATTTAATTATTTCATTACTCAATTTATCATTAATTGATTAACAAATATTTCATTTCCGATATCAATTATATAGATTATCATTCATCATCATCATAGATAATAATAATAATAAAAAAAATATTTTTTTACACCATCAGTTGCTGTTAAAGTAGTGAATGATGTTGTCAATCAGAGTGAATTAATTGTAAACACACTTCATTGCATGGGATTGGATTTAAAGCAAATTGGTATTGTTGCGCCCAACTTACAGAAGGCATTCCGTGAATTCATTGCTTCTACAAAATGTCCGTCAGTAACAAGTGAAATTTCGATTCAAAGGATACTTGAAACAACGAAAACTACACGAGAAGAGGCCCATGAAGCAGCAATAATTATTCAAGTAATATTTAAATATCATTTTTATGAAATGCAGTAAACTAATTATTAATTAAAATAATACCAGACAGCCTTTCGTAGTTATCGTGAAAGAGTTTTATCTCATAAAGCTAAAAAAAATGGAGTACAATGGCAACAAGAAGTAGCAAATACAAGAGAAATTCTAAGAAAAACAGGAATTTCATCGAAAGAGGTAAAAAAAATATCTGCTACAGCTTGTATTAAAGTAAAATGAAATTAAATACTTTTGTAGATTCTTCCGCTGATTTATTTAAATACTATTTTCTTATTATAGCTGGGATATCATGATAATCCTTTAACAAGAAGTAGACAAATGGACTTAAATAAAAGTATGAAAAATTCAATAAAATATTTATTAGTTAAGAAATAAAAGTTTTATAATTTATGTGAGAATCAAAATGAAATTTTAATCAATATTGAATGTAGATGGGAATGGCAGAGAAGAAGCAATAAAAAATAAGTATTCTGGCTTGGAAGAAAGAATCGGATCTCTTACTCGATTCAATGTAGTACATAGAAACGATGGAATTGATGCAAAACGACTCAATCAAGCAGCAATAATTATTCAGGTAAGAGTATTCAATATGATGCACGGATAAAAATCAGTTATGAATATTTATAAATTTAGTAACTAAATAATAATTAATACAAACGTGAAAAGTGAATTTTATTTTTAATTACTCTTTTAAGAGTGCTTTCAGAGAATATCAAACTCGTAAAAGACAAGAACAATCAAAAAGCCATTCGTCAAGCCATTCAACAATTGCTAAGCCATTCTTGATAACTTAAATCAAAGATTATTTGAGAAAGTTTTGACACTGGGAAATATTTCAAAGTACACTGACTTGGTAGATGAAGTTAAAGAAGCTTCAAATGTTCCAATAACTTTATAATGGTTGCAAAAGACGTTGACACAGTCTACGTAAATAAAAAAAGTCTTATTATAACTTCAATATAATAGTAAACTCGAATCATTAAAATTTTCTTAACAACTTGAATGTAACAATGAAGAATAGAAATAGTAATGTATTAAATCTAGAGAAGATGAAAAACTTTTATATTAATTGAATAACTGCAATAATTCATTAAATTATGTCTTTGATAGTGACAAATCTCAGATTAATGCTGTTTTGATCTAATGCTTTTTCATTGAAATCGATCGCCCAACTTGTTGGATCGCTTTTCTAGACTAGAAAAGTTTGTTCAAGTCCAACAGGTCTCACTGGCATCGTGATCCTCACAAGATGAACGTTCTTTTGTTGTTTTGTCTGACGTTGGTTGATCCTGGATTTTCTCGCATGACAGACTCTCATCGATCTTCGTCCAAGTCTGCAATACTTTCGTGCCCTTCTACTCTCTGAGGATTTTACGGTTCTTGAATTTCTCCACGAGAATGTCCAGCAGGTCTTTGTGCTTGATCAAACTCATACCTTTGACCAACTCTTCGTCTTCTCAAGTATCGTCAACGTATTCTGATAAAACATGTATCATTTCTAAATTTCGCGAATAGCCTCGCCTGACATTGCTGACAAAAGATTTTTTCTTTTTTATGCAGGTGATCTCATTTCCTTTCATACTCTTTGATGTCTTTAAGGATCTTGAGCTAATACTTGGATCTTTTCAATTTGTAATCATGTTTAAAATGATAAAAAGTATCTTGAGTTTGAGATTTCTTCAGAAATGATCAAATCAGCAAGTTGATGAGATGAAAAATTAAAACAATTTTTGACCTTGAACTCATTAAGTTCATTTTATTCTTCAATGTTTTTTTAAGTATCCTCATCTCAGTTAATAATCAGACGTTTAAAGCTTGCTTTACAGACAGCTTTCCACAATCTTTTATATAATTATTTTCTTGATTATTAATAGATACTTTATTATAGAATGTAAATTATTTTTTTTATTAAATCAACAGAATTTAATTACATCATAAATCTATCTGAAAGTTTGAAGATGTCTCAAAAGTGTTTACTATTAATTTTATCTTCGCTAAACATTTTCTAGAACTTCAGGGAATTATTTACATTAAATGTAGTCTCAGTTTTGATGTTTCTCAGGACGAAAATCGCTGTATCTTCATTAACGATCCTTCGGAAATTCAATGCTTCATTCGTGTAATTTACACAGAAAGTCAAGTACTCTGTCATCGTCGAGAATGTCACCGAAAATTAATCGATGAGATTTAATTACCTTGAGTAAATGAAAATACTGTAGATTTACCCATTCTCTGTCTGTGAATTATTTAAGAAGATCGATTGGGTTTTATTTACAAGATCTTCTACATTTCTGTTACATTTTTGATAACGACTACATTTTTGTGTTGTCAGATTAATTTTAATGGATTGTGCACACCTATTTTCTGCTCACTACATAAACAAATATTGTCACTATAAAAAGTGATACATATTAGTAAATATTAATGCCCATTAATTATAATGAGAAAAGAGTAAACCACTCGTCACCAACAAGTTGAAAATTTCATAAGCAGCAGTCACAAGTTTAACATCTCAAAGACAAATTCTTTTAATCTCTAAACAGCACTGTTTCTTTTTCCTTGTTAATATTCACAAAACAAGAGACACTTGCGTCTAAGATATTTTAGACAAGTACGTGTCAACATTTTGATAATAAATCTCAACTTGTAAGCATTAATTATTCACTTTAGAATACATTTCTTAGCATTAATTATAAAAGTTATAATTTATTCATCAACAAATATCGGTTTAATACTAAAGTACTGTATCTGTTCCAAGTGTCGAAAGTGAATAAAGTATTCATGTTTTTCTATCTTTCAATAGTTTCTTTCTTTAATAATGAATTCAACTGATAGAAATTTTTAATTATTTTTAAATAGAATTTTAAAATAAATACCATTCAATATTTCACCTCATTTTATCAATGAATTAATTTTAATACAGAACAAGTATTAATAATAGAACATTTCCCATCTGGAATATGTGCAACATGCGGTACATTAGGCTATTAAAATTGACATTAATTGATCTAATAAAAACGAGGACTTATGAGCTTACGTTCAATAGCGCATAAAATAATTGTGATAAGAAGGAAAAAGCCTAATATACGTTTTATAACTTTATTTATTGTGCCACCAGATATTTACTCGTGGTGAACGAGTGCCGTTAGTGGAATACGATCTCATTAGCGCTTTAGAGGGACCTCTTAACGGCATCAATTAAGCTTTCCAGGTTGTGCTAAATGAAAACGAGCTAGAGCAATTTTAACGATGTTTGCTAGTTTGGCGTCTGTCTGAGATGATTGGTGGAACTGTACAGAGGACGAATGCACTCTACCTTGTGCCTTGATGATCCTACAATCATGCCAATTGTCCGGATGTTGATTTTTCTTGGATTCCTCCATTCCACTTCTACGAAAGAGTGCAGCTATGATGAGTGTAAAGTACAAGGTTAATATTCTTTCAATGATTAATCAAATTATTTTATATCTTTTCATTTTTAAAAAAAATTGTTATTATTTTGGTTGAATAAAAGCGAGAAAGAAGTTTATTGAAGAATTTTAAAACAAACATCACTGTTGTTATTGTTGGTTTAATTTTTTGTTTTAGCAAAACGATTTCTAGAATCTATAGATGAAACGATTTCACCGTGTGACGATTTTGTGGAATTTGCCTGCGGGAAACAGTTTAAAAAGTTTGATAATATGAAAAAATCCTGTTCAGAAAAGTCATTAGAGCCAACTACTTATCGTTTGAACTTATGGAAAATGAGGAAAAAGTTACAGACATATTTGAGCCAACCACGTAGAATTGATGACACGAGAACAATGAAACTTGCTCGAATATTTTGGAAAGCTTGTAAAAATAGTATGAATAAAAAAGAGCAAAGCATCTATTATATGTTTGCATAATTAATATGTAAATAAGTAATGGAATTAAGTAAAAATAGGTCAATCTTTTAATAATCTATTGCAGTAACGACTGTAGAAGCTTTAGTTGGGGTACGTTTATTATTCAAAAGATTAGGCGAATGGCCAGTGATCACTGAATACTGGAATAGCAAGCACTTCACTTGGGAAAAATTTAGTAGATGTGCTCGTAATCTGGGATTTTTACCAAGGATGTTCATTCATATTGGCCTAAATATAGAAGAAATAACAAAACCTTGGAATTACAATGATACAATAAAACTAACGGTAGAAATAAAAATCATTCAGAACAATGTCCGCACTTTGTTGAATTAAAATTGCGACCTAGTATTTTTTTAGGTAGAAAGACCAAAGTATGTCGACCTCGACATAACTGAGGAAAAATTTATGATGCAAAGTATTGGATATTTAAAAATAGCTAAGAAATTAACGGATAAAAAAATTCCCAACATATCTGAAATCAATGAGGCGCTAGTATTTGCATGGAAATTACACAAGGTAAGTTCTTTTTATAATATTCAATAAATTCGTTGGCAAAATTCCAAATACGTATGTTTAAAACATTATACATTTTTGCTATCTTTGTACAGTTAAATTGCTCAAATGGTTTTGAACCAAAAAAACGATTCACGATCGCACGGTTACAAAAAAAATACCCTATTACTAATTGGATAAAATATCTCCGAGGAATGTTAACAAAGCGACAAAGAAAATATTTATCAGATAAAAATTGTGTTATTGTAGACACTTGTTATATCTCATCGTTCCTTAATGCTTCAGAGCAAGTTGATAGAAGAACTCTGGCAAATTACGCATTTCTAGCAATAATCGATGACCTTTTTAACTTAATCAGACCTCAGTTATCAATAGCATTTGCCAGTAATCAATTGGAAATTGAACAAATTTGCTTCGACTCTACTTCTGTAATGTTGGTTATTGAATATTGAACATTGGATATTCTTTATTGATGGTCTTTAAGACATACTAATGCTTTAATATTATATTTTTCCAGCTTTAATTTTGCATTAGATGTTGTAATTGCTAATGAGGTTAATAAACGGCTCAAAGAGATTGTAGAAACAATTCAAAATCATATTTATAATGTAACTATTCATATTATTCATAGAGTACCTTGGATGGACTCAACGACCCAGTAAGCTTATATAATGTAATTATAGTAATTATCAGGTAATCCTATTTGTATTCTACTTAATCTTGAATAATTTAAAGACAACAAGCTCGCAAGAAGTTGGAGAATATGCTCTTTAAAATACCCTTTCCAGATGATCTACGGAATGATAATTATTTTATACGTGTAAGTTCATAAAAAAATTCTTATTATTTTAATTGCAAATAATAATAATGGAAATGTTTCAAAATTACTCCATAATTAATTTAATTTGTTTGTTTCTGTCTTCTATCACCTTGTTAATGATACTTGAGTACATCTTTTTCAGCTAGATTACGTAACTGAAAATTCTCTAAATTCCCTATTCCGTGAAATCAATACTTTCCTTGTAGATCATTATTATCTTAAGACAGGAAGTGTTCGGGCCAAGTATTTCATGGATAAACCAAATAGTTCTATAACAAACATAATTTTTGAGAAGAAAATACATCTGACGGATGCTGTTATGAAATTTGATCTCTTCTCCAAGACTGTATGTAAGTCAATATTATTATTCAGTATCAACAAGTAATTAAGTTAAGAATATTTTCAATCATGAAAGTAATGAAATATCAAAATATCTAAAATAATGAAATTAATTGATGGAAAAGTATCTAATTATTATGAAAAAAAAAAATTCAAAAAATCATCTTGACAATAAATGATTGAATATCGAATTACAAAATTAAGTCAATCAATCACAATTGTTTATTCCAATTAAAAAATAATAATCCGTCTGACAATCAATTTAGCCACATAATAATCAATCAACCAAAAAAATTAATGTTCCATTTCAAAAACGGATGTTTGTTAATCAACCAGGAAAAATACAATCTAATGTTGCAAATTAAATATCAAAGTCAAAAATAAAATCTATCATCTAAAAATCAATATCTCTAGTTGACAATCAATTTAAAATATTAATTGTTTTGATAATTACTTGAATAATGACTGTCAAACAGACTCCACCACAATCATTATTCAAATCTCCATTCAAACAATTATTCCAAACACATAAATCTACAATGACTATCAATAACTACTAAAATACATAAATAAAATATAATTAATATAAACCTCAATATTAATTTTAGATACTCCAGAAGCAGCCCTAGAGCTCAATGAATTGACTCCCTACAAGGAATTAGCCTTTCTGAATTATGCGTCCATTGGTCTCCAAATAGCAGCAGCATTGAGTCATCACATGTATCAAAAAGGCGCGTATGTTGACCACAAAGGCCAATGGCAATTTGAATCATGGTGGTCAGATATAACACAGGAACAATTCATGTCCCGGGAATCCTGTCAAGCGATTCAGACTGTAAAGGTAAGCAATTCTCCGCTATATTCGAGGACAATCCCTGAAATCCTATTATACACCAATATGAATGGGATCCAAGATCGGATCGTCGCGTTAATTACAACCGCATTGATTACATTTCGGGATAAGCGTGCTTGAACTGATATCGATGTCGACATTTGAATCCTGTATGTTTGTCTATCTAATTGACGCAAATTATTTCAACTATCGACAGCGCATCATGGACGCTTCTACTGTTTTTGGATTCATTGGTGCTTCTGAAATTGCATACATGTCTGCTTTTCAAGCATGCTCTGACGAGCTTTGCAATACATACATTCTTCCAGGTATGCTCATTATTTTACCCATTCAAATTGATAACAATTGACAGCAGTATCTTTTTTACCATAGTATTTATTTATTTACTTTGATCTTCAATTGAAAACAATTAAATCGATCTCTAATGTCTAGTATAATCTAACAAAAAAAAAAAAAAATAATTGTAAAAAAATTTTCAAGGTTTAAACTATACAAAAAGACAATTATTCTGGATAAACGCCGTTGCTTCTGATTGTGATCGAAATTTAAAGCAGCGATACAACACAATGGTATCTCATAGTGAGAATTTTAAAACGGATTTCCAATGCAATTCTAGTGCAAAAATGAATACAAAAAATAAATGTAAAATGTGGATTACTTAAAAAAAGGAATCACATTCATCCTATTGCGATATTTAAAAAAAATATTTTCACCCGGAATTATTTGCAAATAAAAATTAATTACAATCTAGCTATGAAAATAAAATTTAATTTAACTGGACAAATTATTTTTTTTTTTAAATATATTCTAATTGAAAATAAAACTTTAGCATGAGTTGCTATTATTAATAAAGTAATTATAAGTAACAGAGAAATATGCAATTAATCAATTATTGCAAATAAATGCCGTTATTTTCAATGATAGAAATTGAAATTAAAAGCATAATAATAATATAGTAGCCAGTGTATGATAATCAAAATTTTCAATGAATTTTCAACGTCATATCAATTTAGAAATGAACACTGAAAATAAATGAACACTGGAAGAAATAATAAATAAATTTAAATATCGAGGAAAGCTGAATTCGCACCAATTATAAATAGAAACAATTTTATTTTTACTGTACACAATAACCCTACGAAATTCACTTAAACTATATGTATGTATATTTAATATATTACATATCATAAACGATCACTGACGTCAAATTTTGATCGATGTAATTCGTTGATAAAATTAAATTCACAGTCACTTTCATACTTTAGCTACAAACATTAATTCAATTAATAATGTAGCATTAAGGCGATTAAATTCAACGGTCACTATCACATTAACTTATGTCACAAATACTTGTATTTAATGGATGAAAAGTCTAAATCACTGTTAATTGGATCAAGTATCTTTACCTAATGAATTCATATAGACACAATTAATTCATCCATGGAGGGCAAGGCACCGAAAGTCCTTGCGAAACAGGAATCTGATACTGTTGAGGGAAGGGTGGACGTTGTTGATGATGGGGTGGCGGTGGTGGCGGTGGCGGTGCATTGCAGATAGATTGCATCAATGGGATTGAGTTGTACGGCGGCGGCTTAACAGAGTAAGGAGGCAACTGATTGTACTCAACATTCATATGATGATCCAATGTTGCTCCTTGAACGGGCGACCGACTTCGATCGATGTCGGACTGGCCTTTATAGTCAATGTATGACTGTAATTAATGACTTGCTTGTTTGGTAGAAGATATCTTTATATAATCACTTACCCCTGGGCCTAATATGTGGTGGAGGCATATTTGTGGGCAACGGTGGAGCTGGATATAATACATGATGCTCTCCATCCCTAGGTGGTGGAGGCCTTGTCCAAGGAACTCGCTGCCACGATCCTGGAGGTGGTGGTATTGGTTGTCCAGATCCAGGAATCATACCACAATCACCATTAAAATTTTGTTCATTGCCTAATTGTCACAATAAAGAATAAATCATTTTTCAATGAATTTATTATAGTTTTTATTTTAATTAAAGTATATATTATTTACCTGAATTTGGTCCAGCAGATCTTTGATCCAAATGACAGTTTTCACCTGTAGAACACATGATAAATTATATTTTCGTATTTTATCAAAAAAAAAAAAATTGTTAATATCTATCTAAAAATATGAAAAATGAAAAACAACAGAAACTCTCGGATGCATCATCACTGGAATATCTGTCTGAAAAAAGATTTTATATTGAAATTAATATAAAAGTCACGTTTTTGTTTTGCATCAAATATCACCTGGAATTTATTAAATAATATTTCAATTAAAAGGATTATTCATTATATACAACAAACGTATCCACAAAAATTGCCGCACATGCTGTCATGAAAAACAATCTGCAAGAATAAAATATTCAAATGAATAATTAATAGTCGTCCATGTGAAGTACTGCTACGGTCCAGGAAGAATAAATGAGCTAAGAAAATACTGATAAGAGAAAAAAAAAAATTCAATTTTACAGTATAAATACAGTCTAAGAGTATTTAGAAAAATGCTAAATATTCGCCGTAAAACAATCAATAAGACGAATTAATCAGCATTTTTTCAGTAAAAATACTCTTAGCTACAGACCTGGATGCGGAGGTGGCATTGGCGGCTTGTTTCGATCGCCAGGGGGATGACCAACACCTCCTGATGTAGGACCATGCATCGGTTGTTGCTGCCTCTCAACTTCTCTGCTTAAACATTTCAGTAAAATTCATTAATTAAACGATGAGCAACAGGCTAATTAAAAATAATCAGCTGTTGCTTTAGATCCGTGGATATTTCTGAAATATTAAGCTGAGTTTCAATCATTTCAACAGCTTTTATTTGATATAAACGGAAGACGTAAGCCGCGTTTATGAAAAAAAAATTAATCTAACAGATTTTCTTAAATGCTAGTAATAATCAAGATATCACTGTCCACGAAGGTCTGGTTTGTTTCTTTCTAATTATGAAAATTTTTCATTATAATTTATAAATAGATGAACAGTTTTTTAATCAAGTAATGAATTTTTCTCTTTGACTATTTAGATCTATACTATGGATGTAATACGTATTAACTTAATTAACATTTTATTCATTTATTTAAAAATTCAGGCTCAAAGGTAATTTCTCAGCACCAATTTTAAAAAATGCATATAAAAATTTGAAAAATTTTTAAGTATTTTATGTAATGTGTAGATTTCTGAATTTGAATAATTTTATTAAAAATTTTTTAAAATTTCCCCATTAAATAATCATGCATCACTTGCTCTGTAATAAATCATAAGCGTTATATTTAATCTGTACGGTCTTATAACTTATAGTTTAGTATCTCCAACATCCAACAAAAAATACATCTTTAAATAAGCAATCTGGAAATAAAACTCAAGCTTACGATTGCCTGCTTCTGGATTTTTCAGCTCTATTGCTTGTCTTCTATATATTACTTCTAGAGATAAACATTTTTATATTTAATTCTTATTTTTATGTAAATATAAATAAGCTATTAAATTATTTGCTACATTATAATCCTCTTAATCTATTAACTCATTCAATCATTCGAGTTTCAATTAAATCTCTCATTCAATTTAAATCCATTATTTAATATAAATAATATAAAATCATATTATTGATTTCCACTCACCCATTTCCATGACGTTGAATTGGTGGTGGTCCACACTGATAAGGTGGTGCATCCTAAAAAAATTAATAATACTTTTAATTTTTTCAATTAAGAGAAATTAACTGGAATAAAATAATTTTAATTTTTTTATCCAGACAAAATATTTATTAAATAGTAATCCGAATCTAAAGCTGCGAAATAAAAAAATATCGTACTCATAAATTTAGTATTGTAATTTAATTCGTTATGTTATTTTATTTATTTTATTGTTTCAAAAATAATGATAAGTAAGTAGGGTTTTAAAAACATACCGGAAGTCCATCAACATCAGTAAATCGCCTCTTAATACCATGGCCTTTATGATGTTCTGGAGAATCAGGCTTATGCATCTCAAATGGTTGTGGAGGTGGTTGAATAGTGTAGTGCACTTGGGCAGGCACTTGGCCATTTTGATACTGCAATTGCTGTGAATGGTACTGAATCTGTTGTTGAACTTGGGAAGATGGTACGGCATGAAGAGCTTGAGATGGTGGTGGTGGCATTTGAATCTATTCAAAGAAATTGCAAACTTCAAGTTAGGACTTTAAAAGTTAAATAGCTTACCATTTTAAGATCTTAAAGTTAAATTTTCTTAAATCTCTATTTTCGGGCGCTCTTCTGGCCTCATTTACTTTAAAACTATTCACATAATGGATTTTTAACACTGTATTTAATTTTAAATTTATTTAAACTCTCACCTGGATTTGTCCTTGTGTGGGTGGAGGCTGCTGTGCTTGATAGAGCCAAGGAGCATTTGGTGGTGGAGGTTGTTGATTTGGCGGTGGCATATTTGTTAGAATATTCATAGAATTCGGTAACTGATTAACTGGAGGTGGTGGTACCATTTGAGGCGGAGGTACTGGTTGTGGTGGTGGACCATGTTCTACAGGTCCTTCATGTTGATGAGAACCTTCCATTCCCACTGGCAGTGGTGGTTGTGGATGATGGTTTGGAGATGGTGGTGAATTTGGCACGAGAAAAGTTTGTGTACTTGGTGGAGGGACTTGAAGAGGATATTGCGGCGGTTGAGCATCATATTGAGCGGGCAAAATATGTTGAGTATGTTCTGGGTTTTGTTGAAGTTGAGATTGTACTATGGTTTCATCAGATTGCAAAACAAACTGCGTCGGTGGTTGAGGCCCAGTTGTTTGCATTTGTTGATACTGAATCTGATATGTCTGAGGGATTGGTGGAGGCGGCTGATTAGGTGGGAAATTTGGAGGAGGGAAGTGGAGATGAAGCAACGATGGCGGAGGTTGATGAGTGACATTTAATGATGTTGGTGGTGGTGGCTGTTGAAGATTAACATTAACAGTTTCAATAGAAGCTTGAGGAACTGGTGAAGGTGGTCGTTGAATATTTGGTTGAGTATAGACATAAGAAACAGCCCCACTAACAGATGTTCCACTACTAGCAATAAAGCCTTGCTGATTCGGACTTTGTGGTGGAGGTTGGCTCATAACGTACATTTGTGCTACTGATTGAGAGGGTGAGTGAGATACTGCTGGCATTTGGATTCCTTGAATATGAACAGGTTGGCCTGGATGAATTTGATATTGGACTTGACTCACAGTTGGAGGTGGCCCGATCAATTGTACTTGACTAACAGATGATGGAGGCGATATTAATGTCTGCATTTCCTATAAGAATGGATGGGTATAAGAAAAAATGAAACAAAATTTAATGAAATGATTAAAAAACTTACTTGAGGTTGGTTTGGAGGTGCTAAAGGTCCAGTATGTGCTGGAATATGAACTCCAGGAGGAGGAACTGTTGCTCCAGGAGCTGGACCACCTGTCATGGTTGCGGTTAATATTGTCGCAGGTAACGTAACTACACTGCTTTGTGGATGTTGAATTATATCTTGATGTTGGATCGTAACAACATTAGACTGAGTCAGCGCCCCAATATTCATAGTCTGGAAGTGTGCTATAAGCAAAATATTCTTTTATAATAATAATGCCGCTAAACCTACATGATTATGCTTATCTTTTCGCTCGATTGCATTCGAACGTAGTGGAAAATCTTCTAAATGACTTGGAAATTGTCATTATTTTAATTACCTTGCTGAATTTGTTGAATCTGCGAAGTTTCCAAAACTTGTTGTGGCTGTATTGGTGGCGGCTGTTGTTGAATATAAGATTGTAGTTCAGATTGTATTGTTTGAATTAAATTAATTACTAATTGCTTGGCATTTTGTAAAGCTTCCGGTTTAGGATGCCTGTAATTAATTTTTTTGTCAATTATTCTTTGTTCAAAATTATTATCTATAGATTTATTATGTGAAAATATTAAATAAAATATTAAATTTTTTAAATTAATCATTACTTACTCTATATACAAATGAAGTGGTTCAGGTGATTCAGTACCTAAAGTAGCATCTATAAATTGTGACCCACGGCCTCTAAGAGTCACTGTAGCACCCGTCTCTCCTCGTATATACAATAAATTGGCACCTCCTGCTCCAATAATCCGACCACGTAAATCAAAACCTTCAGGAGCATTTTCAATTCCTACACATATCTTCTCCTGTAGATAAAAATAACCGTCAATTTGATGGTTATAACAAAATAATTTCAATTTTATTTTATAATTCAATATTAGCTGTTGAAAAATATTCTACCACTGATGGAACCCCAGTATGTAAACTCATCAAAGGTGGTGGAGCATTTGTGAATCGGCTTGGTCTATTCAACGAGCTTTGATGTTCTGTTTTGATGATATTATTGATTTTTTGTATGGCCACTGAAAATAAATAAAACAAGTTAATTCCCCAATGGAAATAATCCATAACTGTAAAATATTAATAAATTTGGTACTGAAGATACTAAGGAAAAAGCTATCCATACAATCAATATTATGTTTCGTGTGACCCTGAATGTACAGATAGAGCGGACGTTCATTAGGGCATCTTAACTTTTCTTGTTCAGTCATGAACCTTCCTCGAGTAGAAACTGTAGCACCTAAGCAAATTAATTCATTACAGAAACTTGCAATTTGATACTTTGAATTTGAGACTTTATCACGGAAGATCAAGTTAATCGGCTTCTTAACCTACCTGAAAAGTTATTGATTTCATCTTGAATATACCCTTTAGTAAGTAAAGTTCTTGCACTAGGAGAAGTCTCATTAATTTCAAACTCTGTAGTAAAAACTTCAGCACCTTTAAATACTCCATTGGAAAATAAATTCTGAAGTTAAGAAGTACTTTATTAATACAAAATATGCACGATATCACTTATTAGTTTATTACAAAAGTTTTTCCAAACTCTAGAATAATTTTAGTAAACCATTACTAAACATCGCTCTAACAACTGTTATTATACTTGATAGAATTACTTAATTGTTCAAAGGATATTAATACTACAAAAACTTTTGTAATATACCACTTTAAATATTTAAATAAAATAAATAAAAATAATAATCGTTATTTAATATTAATATATTACTTTGTTGGTCCCATTGGAACCCCTAAATCTTCCTTTAGCCATGAGCATTGAACTAATTGCTTCAGTAACATGCGTCACTGTTGTCATATCCACTATTCCTGCTCCATTAATACATCAAACACTCACAGAGAATAAACTAGAGGATAAAAGTAACGAGGAAAAATAATTTGCTAATAATAAAATACATAATTCATAACCAATATAAAAACCTGCAAAAAAAAAATTTTGCGTTAGTACTCAAGCAAAAATCACGGTGTTTATATAATTATGAGTAACATGAAAACTATTCTCAATGATTAATGAAATGAAATAACTGTTTTCATTATTTTTTTTTTATCAATAATTACCTGATTGTTCGCGAGTATTTGTTGACGGTGACAATTGTCTGAATTTTAAAGGAGTTGAATTTACTAGAACACACTTATTTGCGTACATCATTATCAGTATTTATGATACAAACAGTTATTCTATTTGTTGCGTAAGTAGATCAAATACTAATCAATACTGATTCATGATCAAATTTTATTAAATATTCTGAAAATTATTTATAATGTCATTATGAGAACACTAATCGATTATACATTGAGCAATGGCTGACTACTCAAAGAAAACAGCACAAAATTTTTCATGCATAAAAATTTTCCGGCTTGAGACATACACCTACTAATAAGAAATCTGGAGCCGCGACATCTTATAGTCATGACACTACACTTAAAATCATCCATCGATAAGAAACGCCATTTGATTATAGTAGAGATTAATGCCACCACAGCGCTGTCAATCAAATGTATCAAATATTTCCAATATGGCTGCATGTTGTTGATAATTAGTGCATAATATTATAACCCAACAATAATTTTGTAATATTTTAAGAAAAAAAAGACTTGATTTATTCATAATGAATATGTCAATAGAGAAAAAAAAATATCCATCTGCGTTGCCGACAAATTGGCCATCCAGAGAAGATATACCACGCAAAAATCAAAACTCAGTACCTTCATCAGGAAAAGTTGATGTTTATTATTACAGGTATTTACGAGTTATAAATTGAAATATGGTTGAATTAGAATTATTACTAATTATTATTTCATTTAATTTTACTTATCAGTCGAAGTGTAAGAAATGATGCCTCACTAGTTCCACCAATAAGACAGACAGCTTCGATTTTTAAACAACCTGTTACGATTTACAAAACACAAGAAAAAAAGGTTAAGGATGTAAAGCATGGAACTCAGGATAAACCGAAACAAGTACGTAAACGATATTTATTATCAATTATTATTTATACCATGTACAAATTACATTAACTTGTAATTTTAGGAAGGTGTAGATAAAACTGATACTAAATATGGCTCACAAGATAAACCTAAACAAGTAAATAATTAAATTTCTTGTAATAATATTAATCTATAACACTATCCATTTTGATGGTAGATTCTACCTTTTCAGTTATTCTGGGAAAAAAGGTTAGAAGGATTAAGAGCATGTGATCCAGATGGTTTCGAATTTGATGCCATGGACTTACCAAAGAATTTACGTGCGGTTGGACCTTATATTACAGAAGAAACTCTTTTACAGAGTGTTGCAACAGCTCTTCATATGTCCTCTCAACCAGTCACAGGCCAAACAGGCTCCAAAACATCCCTTGAAAAAAATCCTGGAGTATTTTTAAATCCAGATCAACCGCTTGTACAGGTCTAGCTTTGTTTTTTCTTAAATAAAATTTTATATTATTTTTTTCCACTATACTTAGGATACTTAAAATTGTTTTTTAAATCATTTTAGGCTGTTACAATAGCAGATGATGATATTAAACGTCAAGAAGACAGAGTAGTGATAGCGAGAAAAAAACTCCAAGAAGCTCTACGAACAGCTTCATTGTAATTTTGACTAATTATTGACTTTTTTAGATCTATTTCTGTTTATTATTAATCAATGCATTTTTACTTATTATGTAAATTCATGTAAGTATAGTTTAAGTAATGAATACTGTTTTTTTAAATAAATATTGTCTAAAAATATTTCACTCTGGAGAAAAAATTTATTATTCTTTACTAATTGTAATGGGGTTGAAAGAATTTATTCATTATCTAAAAAATTGACTTATTGTTTATTTGCGTACAAAAATACTATAACAATTCATATACTTGACATATGACTATCACTTTGTTCATCAATCTCATGTTCATCGAATTCATTATCATTTCGTTTGACATTTTGATTATCAGCCGGCTCATCAACTTTTTCATCATTTCCTTTATTATCGTTGTCATTTGGTTCTATTGTTTCAATGTTTTTTTCTTCATGAGGACTCATTGTTCTAAAATTATTGATTTTTAGGACAATGCATTTTAATATTTCTTTTGCAGAAGATGCTTCAGATGGATTGATCCTAATAATCTCGCCAAATTCTTGAATGTAACAACTGAGCTCCATTTCATTGTGTGGATCTTTCGATGATAAATACTTGTTCGTTAATTGTGATAGTTTTAAAATATCAGAACTAAAAGCTTCATCAAGATCGAAAAGTTCTAAAGCAGGTGGCGGAAGTTCTTGAAAACTAGGGGGAAATACCTAAAACATAATATTATTTGATTAAATTTTTAAAAATAATGATAATGAAATGAATCATTATTATGTATAATTATATTTACGGAAGCTTGAGTAGGAGGTAATGGTGTTTCAAAATGAGGAGTAATTAATGTCAAAGGTTCATGTTTAATTCCTAAATCTTGATAAGCTTTTAAACAGTCAGGTATCATTGACAAATTAATAGAATAAAATTCGTGTTTAAAAAATTTCGTGTACTCTCGTGGAATATCGTGGCTATCGATATCTTGTGTACAAACTTTTGGATTGTCAGCTTGCTGTACTATATCTGGTACAAAAGTGTACTCCAAATTCTAAAATAATACATTAATTATTATAAAGTAAGAACGAAGAATCTAAATAATTAATGATTATCATCTAACGTACATCAACATCATCAATATATATATCTTTGCCTTTCCATTCTTTAGACTCAAAAAATTCAAATATCATTTCTCTTAATGTATCGTTTTTTTCTTTTTCAATATACGCATCAGTAAGTAATTTTGATGAACCAAGAACTACTAATTTTCCCGTACTTGTTGATGAAAAATAATATGCACAGATTGGACGATTAGTGGGAACTGCCATCGAACCACTAGATAATGCAACGATTGATGGCTGGACAACATTCAGAGTTGCTCCATATGGATAAAGAAAACGTAAATTCCTAGATAAAAAAATTAAAACTGATTAAATTCTTGCTATTTAAAATAAATACCAATAATAACTAATGTGATGTTGATAAACTTACGCTGAATCATTATGGTTATTAACGAAGCCAGATTTGTTTGAAAGACCATGAGAAATGGTACATTCTTTAGGATGCAAGTTCCTGCTGTAACTCATTCTAATAACACTATCTAGTAAATAAAGTAGGAAAATAATAAATAATTCAATGAATTATATGATATAAATGGATAATAAAGATGAGTATACCATTATTGATCATTATGCCAAACTCTTCAAGAAGAAAATTAATATTCGTATTGAGTTTATTTTCACCACCTTCTCCTAGCATTACTAAAACATTTTTACCACTGTTGATAAAACCTCTGATTGAATTCAATTCTAATTCTGTGAATTTACTTCGAGGTTCAGCAAGAACTAGTAGCTCTGCTGTTGCTAATAATTCTTCCGATAATACATCATTAAATCTGTGATAAAATTAATCAGATAATTAATCCTTCATAAAATGACTTTAAAAAATAAATAAGTTTTACTCACTCAGAAAACTTCCATTTAGCTTTCAATTTCCTCTGAAGAATTTTAAATTCTTCATTAAGTCTTTTTTCATTTTTAGATGAATCAAAAAGAACTTGGTACAGCTCGTTTTCATTATGATTTATTAGAGAATTCATTTTAATTACTTATTACACTTGAATTCATATTTCTTTAAAAGTACACAATACTGTTCTCTGACAATAATTACAATGAGATAACAAAAAAAAACACACACAAATGGTATTTTGTTGTCAGGAGCAACTTCTTTCATAACAAATCAAATTGTTGGCCATCATTGGTAGACTAACAACCAATAGATGATTCATATTCAATCAAGACAATGAAGATTCAGTTATTTTGGAATAAGACTCACTTGTAAGAGTTACTTATTAGTACATCAAAACCAGAAAGGAAAATGAAATAATCAAATGGAAAAAAAGAATGAATAATAAACTTAGAAAAATAAAATAACACATATACTATAAAAGGTAATTTGTAAATTGCTCTAAGCAAAAAAGTTGATTGCACATGATTTAAAATGTATTTTTAGTTTAAATCATAATGCACATTACAATAGAATATCGCTCCTTTCGTGTGAGTCACATAAAAAGTTATCATATATTTTTCAGGAGTTAAGGCAGTCCGAAAGAAGTTTTCATGATCATCATCTATCAGGACGAATCTTTCTATTACATAGGTCCCCTGAAAAGTATTTAATTAAACTCATATTTAGTACAATTGAATATTTCTATGAAGTTATATTTTTACATCTTTTATCATTACAATACTTACTGGTTGAGGAGGACATGTATCAAAAATCATAGTATGAATCGTATACCAAAATAAACTAGTAGGATCAGTAACTGTTTCACAAAATGGGCGAGAAAATTGAAAATTGGTAGGTATATCATAAATACCTGATTCTGAGCGTTTTAGAGCTCTTATATGACCCTTATATAGAATTAAAAAACCTTTTTACTTAATATCTTTTGCAAAAATATTTTAATAATATTAAAAAGTAAACTCACCACAGCATCATCTGGAATGGGTTTTATTATAGTGAAATTGGCAAAAAATTCATTTATGTCACTGTCAGCATGAAAAAATACTTTTACATCTCTCAAAAACTCTTCTTTATAAACACGACATTTAAGATCATGAGCAACAATTTCTGAATTTACCTAAAGGCATCAAAAAGGATGTTGAAAAATCACTAATAATTAATCATGCGAAATACAACATACCTGGTTAACAAATAAATTAATAAAAAATATTAAGATCATCAATCTACAAGACATTATTATTATTAATATTTTATTAACTTCCAAGAGATTATATGTAATATGTTGGAGCTATGATGAATTGAAAGTAAATGAAACATAGCAAAAAACAATAGTAGAAAATTAAATCATTGAATTATTTTTATATAATTTTATGAAAAATTTCACAAAAGCCGTAGAATATTCTGAATGATAGTTTATATAATGCTAGATTGTATCTAGGATAAAAATAAAAAAATAATAACTCAATAATCCTCTCAGGTTACCATTACTCATCGGGAAGTTTCACGATCATTTTAATTACATCAATAATCCACTAGAACTTAGATCGAGAATTGTCTGATAGTGAAATATTTTATTTGCAAAGATTCGCAGAGATGAAACGTTCATATATTAATATGGATGACATAATTATCAATGATAATCCAATTAGAGATCAAATAACTATATTTATCTTTTTTATAATTATAAGTAATCAAAGTTATAAAAGATGAATTAAAAGTAACTTTCAATAATGTTTATACTGCGACCATTTCGTGGTTGGATAGGTCGATTATTATGATCATCATTATTTGCCAACTGTAAAGATCTGAACTTATGCATCTAAAAATAATTAAGGAAACATTTATTTTTGATAATAATGATTAACTGGCTATAAGTAGAAAGGTCGAACTTACTTCTGTCGTAGAAACAGGAAGTGGTTGAAGTGATACGAACCAAGCTACACCTTCTGTACAAGGAGGAGTGGTGAGTGATCCAAAATAAACTGCATAATTCTGGAATATTCCTTCATTTAAAAACATATGAGGTCTAAATGGTTGAATATGAATGTTTGAATATTTATTCGTTACTTCAGATGAATTAGCTAGAATTTTAGACAGTAAAAGACTTTGGTCTTCAGACGATAAAGCCTGTAAAATACATGAGCATACAATAAATGATGACTATGAATTATCTAAATGATAAATGATTAATAATAGTTAAGAAAATGTTGTACTTACAAACATAACTGCTACGACAGCCAATCCGTCTCTGTAATTTAATGCATTTGAGTAGGAATTATATCTACGGTTGAAATGAACCATGTGCATCTCCAGAGGAAAACTGAAATTTTTGAAGAGATCATATGTTATTGATTAAAAAAAATTTTATTCATGAACCTTCACTAATATATAATTAGCATTATTTTTATTGAATATTGAATTATAAGTTACCTTTCTCCATTTATTTTATGTTCACTTCCACTGTGATGATTCGTATTCCAATGGAAATGTAGATTTTCCAATTGATAAACATCATGAAGTGGTCCACCATGAATTTGGGGAGCAAAATGGTTCCATTCAAATTCAATTTTCACTAAAATCATTATATATGACAGAAATAATTAAATTTAATTTTTGTATCTTATAGATGCCTTAGTATTACATGTATGTCCATCGTTCAATAATTTAGCCATTGTAGGTAGTTCATGATAATTGAAGAAAACGAGATTGTTGTACCAATGTTGCTGACCAGAATTAACGAATAGATCAATATCAATAGGTGATTGCATTCGACCGTAACATTCAGCATGTTCAACTGACCAGGAATCAGGATTTTTGTAGTCGTAATCTATCAAATAAATAATTTCACAGTACCGATTTAATGAAATGGAATAAAAAATATAAATCATCAATTGAAAGAAAAAATTAATATTCAATACCTGCTAATGCTTGAAATGAATTAAATATTACGAGAATAAAATTTGTGGTGAGCACAAAAAACATTTTGCTTGATTTTTTAAGAAGAAAGAAACCAGAGATATTGTGAATTGCTGCTTTATATGAAATTCATTTGTATATTATTCATGAAACGTACCGCTTATCAGAGAATATTAATTCATACTAATTTGATGTAAAGTAGTATAATGATGCCTAAGAGGAAGATAGCTTAGATTCTTAACTCCTAAATTGTTATTTCTCTGGGATAAACCTTTTTTCAACTGAGTAACAAATATTCCCACAAGTCATAAATAAACTATTGTAATTTAATCTTTCACGCATTTTTAATTTAGCTAAAAAAAAAAATTTTACATCAATGGATTGAAAAATAAAAGAAGTTTATAACTTGAGTTCATAAGACAGTGCTTAAATATAAGTCATCAATCTTTGTCAATTAAATTCAAAAAAGATTAAAAAATAACCACTCCATGAAGGAGTGGTAGTCCTAAACAGATAAGAAATTCATTGCCACGCTTTGGAGTGGGACTAAACATATGATGGAGTCGGTTTGTTACTTCAGGACGAATTCAGGTGATGTAACTATAACTTGCAATCAAACATTGAGTATCTCTTCGTTATCTTCTTTTTGTCGATGCTGCATTATCGATTATTACATACATCACCTGAGAACAATTCAGTTGTTCTTCGCAATCATCTGTATCGAAAAGAGGAGCTGATGAGTTCTAATTAGATTGCAATTGTGATAATTAAATAGTTATGCCGTTTGAAGAATATTTTTTTAATCTGTAGAGCTCATCTTAGTTGACATGATAAGGTTACTTACTTGATGGTCATAATGTAATTGGTGAATAAATCGTATTAATATTAAAATGTAATTTAGGATATGGAATTTGCTAGAACATTGATCAGATTGTTTGGTATTATTACCGACTTCTTTCCATTTTATCACGCGAAAAAATTTATAGCATCAACTTTAAATTTTCATCTCCCTGTTTGTCCGTCAACCTCAATCGTACGTTAAAAAGGCTAAGAATTTATGATATTAGTGATTTAAAATCTGCTTATTAACTGCTTTCAATATTTATTTAATATTTTTTTTTAAAAAACTGTTGGTAACTAAATACATTAACTATTGACTTGTATTTGATTCCCCTAAGATCATTTGACCTTTTGGTTTTAATTTGTTTTCTATAATTTTTCTTCTTTTCTCTTCGGCTTCCTGTGTTCGCCTTTCGTGATTTTCAACTGCAAAATCGATTTCTTTGACCAATTTAGTTATTTTCTCCTATCAAAAACAAAATTGTTAATATAATTTGTTAATTAAGGTTAATAAGAATATATAGAAATGACTTTACAAAATATTTTCTTTGTTTTTGAATCCGAAGATATTGTTTTACTCCAAAAGGTACTGGTCTACCATCAGTAAAAGAATAGTCGGGTAGATTTGTTAAAGGTCCAAAAGCATTAGGATTTGATGGAAGTCCTTTACTATAAACATTAAATTTCATGACATTTATTATTAAAGATTTTTATCAGAGAAGATAAATATTTTTCTTAATTCTTTTTACTTACATTCTTCGCCAATCTTGATCTAAAAGACGTGAAGCTGATGCATGAAATCCCTTAGCTTTAATGAAACTATTATCTGAAGTTAAATAGAAAAGATTATTAATAAAAAACACATATTATTGCTCTAAAATAAATGTCTTGTTTTTACTTGTACAATACTGAAGTCCATTGATGATTTTATTAGTTAAAGTCATGATCGATGAATCCAATCTTGCTTCACTCCAAGTATTAATTCACTTTAATTATTCTAATTTTTTTAATACTAAAGTTTTACCGCTATGATAGAGGTTATAAATTGCTAAAAAACATTAACAGAAGAATTGCCAACTCAGCGAAAATACATTAATGATGTGTTTGATATGTTGGATACCGTGAAATGCGCAAAAACGTTAAAAATGGAACGCAGTTGGTCAGTCGTTCACGTAATAACCAACAAAAACGGTTTGACGGTTTCCTCGTGGCAAATTTGGCTGTTAAAGTGTATAATAAATTTTTTCCAACTTTAAACTAATATATATGATAAGATAACTAGCTGTTTTAATTATGGTCTCGGTGATGCAGCCGTTTATGGTAAGTGAACAAATAAAATACATTGGGAAAGTTATCAACCTTGCATTTACTAGCGGTTAAACAATTTTGTTAGCTATTTTTGACGAGTGATTACTCAAATTTATTGTTTTCTTATTTCTTTACATAGGATGTTGAAAGCTCAAGAAGTTACATCGACGAGCTGTATTCGCCAGACCCCCAAAAATGTTTACAAGCATTAATGTAAGTTGCAATTTATTCTAACCTTAAAACAAACGCAAATTAATAAATGAAGTTTCAATGATTCATAAAAAAAAATTTTTTTGGTTGACCAGATGTTTGAAGAACTCTGTAATTGGCAGTAACCGTCAAAAAGGTTCCGTCATCGCTCAAGGTGTAGTTCCACGTCTTCTTCAATTAATCAGTGACACATCGGTATCAGTAGTTGGAGAAAGAATTCGGTTAGAGTCTGTTGTAACGCTTGGCTCTCTTGCAAAAGGCACCGATCAACATGTTTTAGCATTGATAGACCTTGGAGTTGTACCTTTGATTCTTCAATTACTCTTATCAACACCTACTACTGATTCAACTTCGAATGAAAAGCCAAAAATATCGGATCTACTGATTGAAGCATGTTTAAGATGTTTAAGAACAGTCTTCCAACATTCTAGTGCACCTGTTCAAACTTTATATCAAAATCCAGCTCTTGTACCTCGTCTACTGTCTTTAGCATCAAGGTCGATCACTTGTCAAGTGTGTGTAGCAACAATTTTAACAACAGCATGCAAAACTTCTGAAGAACAAAATGCTTTGATGAAAGGTGGAGCTGTAGAGACCTTAGCTGCTCAATTAGATTCTCCTCTGGCTGAGGTCCAACTTCCGGCATTAGCTTGCTTAGCCAACATGTGCTATCAAAATCATCTGGTATCTACTGTAGTCGCGAATATGTCAACAGGTAAAGGATCTCAAAGTAAACCACTGCCTGCTCTTCTCGGTCAACTAATTGGACGTGAAAGAGGTTCATTAGTTCAATTAGAGGCTGCTAGATGTGTCGCTTATCTACACAGAGCTGGTGCACTTTCTTCAACGGATCCAAGAGTTGTCTATCGAGCTTTACCATGTTTAGTAAGACTCTGCCATCGAGATAGACCCCCTAGAGAGCGCGTAGCAGCTGCAGAAACACTTGCATATCTTACAGAAGTCGATACAGAGCTTCAACGTCTTGCATCAATCAGTAATCACCTTATACCTACCTTAGCTGAGCTTTTGAGGCCTCATCCTCAAGTTCAAGATGCTGCATTATGCCAAGATATGCGACAAGCAGCTTTTAGAGCTTTCGCATCTTTGGGAGCTAATGATGAAGATATTCGAAAAAGAATTATTGAAACGGAAAATTTGATGGAGTTGATCGTTTCTGGTCTTCAAGATCCTGGAGGTCCTAGAGTTCGTCTTGCTGCTGTCAGATGTCTTCATTCATTATCAAGGAGTGTGCAACAGCTCAGAACGACATTTCAAGACCATGCAGTGTGGCGCCCATTGATGCAGTTACTTCATGGAGCAGACAAAGGATTTGAAGGTCGTGGAGATGGTGAAGAAGATTTATTAACTGTTGCTTCAAGTACTTTGTGCAATTTACTTTTAGAATTTAGTCCAAGTAAAGAACCCATTCTTGAGTCAGGAGGTGTTGAACTTTTATGCTCTCTAACCAAGAGACCTGATCCTGCGTTAAGACTTAATGGAATATGGGCGCTAATGAATGTAGCTTTTCAAGCAGAACAACGTGTTAAATCTCAAATACTCTCGTGCCTCGGAACTGATCAAATATTTCGGCTCCTAGCTGATCCTGAGCCTGCTGTATTGATGAAAACACTTGGATTACTGAGAAATTTGCTCTCTACAAAAGCACATATCGACAGAATTATGGATGAACATGCTACTCATGTCATGCAAGCTGTCATTCTGGTACTGGAAGATCCGGATCATTCGGCGGATGTAAAAGAGCAGGCACTCTGCATCCTTGCCAATGTTGCTGATGGAGATCGAGCTCGGGAACACATCATGGCTAATGAAGACGTACTCAAAAAATTAATGGATTATATGGTAAGTATGTAAATCAATTGAACCATTTTGAACATAATTTATCTATATAGAGTTGCAAAATAGTATAAAGATATATTTTTCAAAATTATTTTTAGATGCATAGCAATGTGAAACTAAAAGTTGCGGCCATATTTTGTGTATGCAATTTAGTTTGGAGAGAAGAACCTGGTGCTGCGCAACGTCAGGCACGATTGCGCGAATTGGGACTTTATCAAATTTTACAGCAACTGCGTTGTACGAAAGATTCGCAATTGTTTGATAAGTATGTAACTATTAAAATTCTATGCTCAATAATAAACATAAATCTTTTACACTTCGTTAATTATTTTATATTAATTAATTTACAGGGTGAAGACAGCAATGGCCCAATTTTTCGATCCCTAAATTATGAAGACTTTGCTTAGACACCCTTGCCTAGAATTTTAATTTGGAAATTATTTTTTTAGCGAATCCTATGATGAACTTTGATTTATGTTAAATAACACTGTGATCCCGCCAATGCGTCTATTTTAAAACTAAAGACTAGAATTTTCCTTATGAAATGAATAAATGAATTTAAAAAATGAATTAGTGATTAAGAACAAAAATAAGAGAAGCAATTTTAGAATTTTCGAATAATCAAATGAGAATTTAGGTTTTCCTAGTCTCTTTAATTTATTGTTAACGTAGTAAAAATTGTTTTAAAAAAAGAAAAAAAAACTATGGAAGGTAAAAATTGTGGTTGAACTGATAAAAAAAAATCAAATCATGCACCCATCAATAATTTTTGCACTGTTTGGTATATTTTTTATCATAATCTTTATAGTAAATTTTATTATTGAATATTTTAATGTGGCAAAAAGACTCAAGATTACGATTAATTCCATAGTACGTTTCAATAAAATTGAACGCTTGAAAAAAAACACGAAACTCAAGAGTTTTAAGTACATTATTTTAAATATAATATTAATAATAATAATAATAATAATATAAGGTAAATAATTGTGACTAGCAAACTCACGACATAATGTATAGATATTTGATAATAAGTCATTTTAGATTTTCATCATCTTTGGTATAAATTCTTCGGCATTCATTTCATCGGAATGTAATGGAATGTATTAATTAACAATTCTGTGATATTATGGTTTGTCCTTCAGAATCTTCAATAATTCATTCAGATATTTTTTTTTTATGAAACAAGCTCATACCAATAGAATCGAGTAAATTACGTCAACTAGGCTGGTGCATTCCCATCTCCTGATTTTGATAGGCTCTCCATAGGATTTGCTAAAGGATCCAGATCCGCGAATAAATCCAACCATGAACTTCCTTTTTTTTTGCTTGTTTTTTTCTGTAATAAAATCATAATCAATTATTTTTTATACAATCGGCTCTTATTACTTAAATTCTTTGTATTATTGATAATTGGATTGATAAAAAAATTTTATAAACTAATAAATAAAAAAACATTTATGATTTTTTTCTTAAAAAATTAAAAACTGTTGATAGAATGATTTACATTAAAATTAAAAAATACATACAAATATTTCTATCAATCCAGTATTAATATAAATAAATATAAAAGCGTACTTTTTCGTCATTATTAAGAACCTTTGATGGTTTTTTCCCTGAGACAACATCACCTAAACTTTGTTTCAAAATTCCTGGAGGTAAAAATGTGTCTCCAGTCATTGAATCCCATTCAATATTCGCACTGGGCCCACTATTAAGTATATCATCTAATAATGCAACATTCTCAGAAGTAAGTAACTGAATAGATTGTTGTGGTTGGTCTTGACTAGAAGAGGACGTTACTGAAGCGTCACCGAAATCAAAGTTTGTATTTCCTGTAGTAAATGAGTCCATAGCTAAGTCTAACTCTGCAAGACTTTTTTCAAGCTCATTCATACTTTTTTCATCAGTTTTAAAATGTTCACTTGTTAAATTTCCAAAAAATTCTTCGAGTTCTTTATCATGGTCTAAGGCCAAAGATTCTTTAAATATGTTGTCAGCATTTTCACCTTTTTTTTCAGTTTCGTTTACTGGAGACATAGGATTTAAAGTTAAATTTAAAGATTCAAATCCGAATTCATCTTTAGAGCCATTCTCAATATCTAGCAGCTTTTCTTCTTTGCCATTACATTCATCAGTTTTTTTTTCAGGTTTCGCTTCCTGAGCTTCTTCAATATTGTCTTGATAGTCCGACTCAAAGAATAATAATTTATCTTTATCTTCAAGATCATCGTCACCACCCGTTTCTTTGGCAAGCTTTGTCGATGTCTCCGCTAGTTCTTTCACAACCATAAAGTCATACCGTTGATAACCCTTAAAACTATTGGCTATCGTAGCATAAGCTTGGGCAGACTTTTTTGTAAAATTTAACAATGTACTCTGATAGAGAACGAGAGCATGACTAAACATATTACATCTGGCAGCAGCTAAAAGATCAACTTTTTGCAAGCAGTCATAAGCTTGATGGTCAAAAGAAGCTTTACCACGTCTTACACGGGTCTGAACTTTTCTAAATCTCTCTAACTGTTTAGAAGTGTCAGGGTCCAATTCTTGGGATATGTTTTTCATCCAAGATAACGCAGCACGATATTCAGTGCGAGCTTTTTCCATAGATTGAACATTTTGAAGGGTATCTTCAATTGCTCGTTGTCTAAAAGTCTCAACTTCTTGATATAGACGTACTAATGGAGCTCGTAGTGTTAAACGTTGTTGACCTGAATAAGATAATGATTTTCCTACGGCTGACATCATTTTTCCAGCTCTCGTCTTATCTTGTTTCCCAGCTTCCTTTAAAAAACGTCCCATTGCATTCTCTTCCTGAGCTAAATTGCACAGTCGTTCTTGATATTTATCAATAACTCGTTGAAGATAAGAACATGATTCCTGAATACTTCGAAATAATTCCAATTTGGCGTCTAATTCAGCATCAGATGCTACGATACACTCATCTTCTTTTTTACCCAGCTTTCTAGATAATGCTTGCTTTGTGACCCAATATTGATGTTGCATTTTTGTAATTGTTGAATCTTCTGTTAAATCTGTACGTTGGACCCATCGATCAAAAGCATTTCCAGACACACCTGGTCCACCACGATCACTGAAAACACCCAAATTTTCAATTCTATGATACTTGTACATGTTGACAAGTTAGTTTAGTTGAAAAAATAAAATAAACTGAACAAATATGATATAGTAGAGAATGTACGGAGGTGGATTTCCTGCCTTAATCTTTCCTAAAGCAATGATAAGCCCAGCTTTGCATTGTAAAGTTACTTATTGTAATAACAAATGTGGCAGTAAATTGATATAAGTATCTAAGACAATAAAGAATTCAAATATTAATTTTTTACTTACTAAGTGTTCATCGTAGTGATTTTTAAATAATTTTTCTAGAATTTAAAGCTAAATTTTATTAAAAATCTACTTTTGTTGATATCCTTGATGTATTTAATAAGTTTGACACATACTCTTTCAGATTGTTATTATTATTTTGGTAGGGATAAGGAGTAGAATTATATTAGAACGTCCTCTATGAACCATCATAAATACTCATAAATTTTTCATTGTTATGTTATTTACAGCCGCTATCAGAACATAACACCAAACGCCATCTGAAGATTCCTTCCTTTTTGTAAGACGTACTGTAGGTGGGTGATCGTTTAATTGTTTATATTGTTAAAAATCCATTTATTTTATAACAATCCGATATTTTTACACAATTTTTATTTGTTAATAATAATCTTAAGTGTATAATTAATTATTTAATATCTTTCATTTTGTAAAAGTGTAATTAATTATTCTTTTTTTGTTGGTTTAGGTGCGATCATTTTTTTGAATAAAACACAATCAATATGGTAAGTTTCTAAACAATTTATATAAATTTTTAGACTTGTATGCATTAAATATTCGAAAATTAAATTTAATTAAACATTTACTTCAATAATTTTTCCCAATATATTTGATATGGATCTTTAGCATTGTTATCTTTCATCCTAACCTCAAAGTTTCACTTGTCAGGTTATATTATTTTAAAAATTTATTCATCATCACACATTGATTAAACCTTGCTTTATGAATATTTCAGCCTAAAGAAATCAAAGAAATCAAGGACTTTCTCCTTAAAGCACGAAGGAAAGATGCTAAATGTAAATATTTCATTCAATTATTGCAATTGTAATTTGATAATATAAATCTGAGTATGTAATTTTATTAATAAAAATATTTATTGGATTACAGCTGTCAAAATCAAGAAGAATGCTGAAAATGTCAAATTCAAAGTACGCTGTTCAAGATTTTTGTACACTTTGGTGATTACTGACAAAGAAAAGGCCGAAAAATTGAAACAATCTTTGCCACCTGGTAATTTTCATTTCTTCATCATTATTTCAAATATTAATCCATCAATGTGATCATTATTGATCATATTAATTTAATGATCCATAAATTATTATACAAAAAACTGATCAATGCCTATTATTTCCAGGTCTACAAGTTAAAGAGGTCAAAAGGAGTGAACGAATGTAATTTCATAACAACAATAAAATTATAAAAAAACCAGCACATTCTTGTAATTATTTTTTTCTTGTATATTTAATTGATTTTACAAATGAACAAGATTATTAATGTCCTAATATAAATATTCAAGGCAATTATCGCGTGCTCCAAATCAACAAGAAAGTTAGTCTGGGGACAGGTTGAAAAAAATGATTGTAACATTTTAGCGCTTATCGACTTACAGGTGTATGCTAATAACTTTGAAAAATAGTTATGGCTGATATATTAACAACTAAAACATGACCTAGCTTTTTTATGATATCGCGTGAGTTAAAATACCAATTATAATAGCATAATAAAGTTTTTTTTATAATATGTGATCAAGTCTGAATAAAACAGTACTCTATTGCAAAAAAAATAATATTACATTTTGTATCTTATCACTTTGGTATTATCATCAAGTAGAAGAAAGCGACAAAAATATAAGTGGCGCGCCGGCGCATTTTTCCTCAATTTATATTTAGCTTTGAGAATATCACAGTTTAAGAAAGTTATTCCCTGGGTGAGCATTAGTTTTTTAAATTTGAGTTATTCAATTGGTTGTATAAGTAATTATTTCATTCAAAATTTTGTATAAAGCCAATATTATTATATAGATTGAACGATGCGTTTATTTGTATCATATGTACCTACAAAACAAGTAAATTAGACTTTGAAGTTAACACTAGATACCCCAGGTGAGCCGTTTCCAAACATCTGGCTCGATCAATACAAGCATGTGACTAGTTAGTGTACTTCAGTTCACAATGCATGCTACACTCACGAGGGTTATTAAACAAATGTTATTGACTATTTATGAAACAAAACTGCTATTCAAAATCAGGTACTCCATTTTAATTATCATATTTATCTATCTACTAATAACCCTTGTCATAAAGAAAATATTTTATCGATATTCGTTTTCTTTTATAACTCCTTTGAAGGACGAAGATGTCATGTGTACCGAAAAAAATTGTTCGCTGTATTGGAAAATGCTCATCAGGACTAACTTTAGAAGAACTGGATAATATAACTGATCATATTCAAAAGACACTTAATGACTGTAAAGGGAGAAAAATATTTCGAGAATTTCTTCGGCAAAGCAATCGAGTAGATGATTTAGCTTGTTTAGACTTTTATGAAAAAATATGTGAGTTTATTGAAAACGACAAAACTGAAACGTAAGTATTTATGAGATGTTTAAAGAATTCTTTTGCTAAGTTCAACTTTGAAACAGATGATAGTTTTATGTTAATGAGAATTATCATGAAGGGTAAAAATTGTTTGAAATGTAAAAATGAACTGTGTTTTCAGTTCTTCTACTACGCAACCGAGCGTTAAAGTACTCACAGAGAATATAAATGAAGCATTAGACATAGCTGCAAATCTCTACGGAGTTCCAGAAATAGATATGGCGCTTTTGGAGAGATTCAGTGAGTGTTTGACGACACCCTGCAGAGCTGCTATGCTTGATGTGCTCTCAGATACAAAACTACGTCTCATGGATCATCTCACGAATGCTCATAAAGACTTTAGGATTTATCTACTTGAACCCTGTCCGAAAACTAAGTGACCTTTTATTTTAATTGTGATAAGTTTAATTTTGAAGGTCGAATGAATATTCGGAATGAATGGATTATGTATGCTACTCTACGACACACGCTTAAACAATACTAATATGCATAAGTATATTTATTTTTTTTTTCAAAGAATAGTAAATTATTTATGTTAATTTGATGTATGAAGTATTGTTATATCTCTAACTTTCGAGCTTGGCCTTCAATACTAATATATTTTTGTAATTCATTTATAGATAATAAAAATTATGAAAAATATATTCAGAATTATTCATTTGGGTAAATAATAAATAGACAGGATATTTTACAGATTTTTTTATTACTTCCAAATCTCGCTTAGAACCTGAAATAATTTTTCATTTCACAATCTAATAATTCATAATAATAATAATAATAATTAATAATTAATAATTGGTAATAATAATCATTGAATGATAATAATAATCATAATAATAATTAAGTTTAACATTAACGTCTGACAACGTCGAAGTAAAGATTATATATATATATATTTATATATAATATGTATATATATATAATATAAGCTATTCCTTGCCCAGACACACGAATGATATGCATGTTGTTACAATTTGTTGTTTGTTTTTTCCTATTATTACCCTTTTCTTTAGTTATCATTGACTCCTCATTTTACTTAATTTTTTCATTTACGTTATTATTATTATTATTTAACTTATCTAAATTACACGGGCATATAAATAAAATCTTATTGCTTAATATTTTTTTTTCTTCATCGTTCCATAAGTATAATTACATATGATATGTTTTTGTAGTCCCAATGATTAATATGCACACATTTGTGCAAATTGTGTCTCGTAGTGGACGAGACACATTAATGGACGGATTAAATCTAGATGCAAAATTGACATTACGATGGTTGAGATAAAATTTATCATCATCTCATTAACAAGACATCAATTTAGTTAATTAAATCTCTAATACTCATCTGACCTATCTCTCAAAATGTACCACAATCCATTAAACAATTTAACGTTTTTTTTTTTTTTTTACAATTTTCTTTTAATTTTTTTTCTAATGCATAATTAAAATTTAATAAATCCTCAACTCTCGAAATGTCAAGTGCATCTGGCAGTACTTGACGAGGCCTCAGATTGTCGTTACCTCGTTTCTCTAGTGCATCCACGACTTATTACATCAAATTACATTAGATTATTTCTTTCATTTGTAATTATTTATTAAATTACTTATTTACTTTCTTTTTAATATCACTATTTTTATAATTATTTAATTCACAACTAATTAAACTAATTCCGTGGATCCGCTGAAGAAAAATGATCACTTAAGCCTCGCCATTACTGATTTGGTTTTTTTTTTTTTCATTAAATCTATTACTTTTTTTTTGCACTCACTAAAACGTATTTTTTTAGTTTTTTTTTGCTTCTTTTTTTATAATATTTATCGGATTATTTCCGATGACTGCTACTTCGCAAAATTATCCTTTAAATATCACAACAACCTCACACAGAAAGCTGCACTATTTATAATTTTTTTTCATTTTTTACTTTTTTTCGCTTATGTCGAGACTTAAATCATTAATTGTTGCATTCACATCCAATTATGCTCTCATTTGCTGATCGACTTTCTCACTCTACTATTGTTTGATCCCTAAAAGGGACTCACATGCAAAAAATTATAATCTGACAAGTCTATTTAATTTTTTAGTTCATTTTTGTTGATTGCAAAGTACGGACAATGCTTTCATTTTCATTCATTTAACAATTCGATGTTTTTTTTTTCATTCCGTACGTATAATATTTGAATTACTAAAAAGCTGATATTTCCTTTCTACATTCTTTTGTGGGAGATTTTTTTCACTTTCGACACAACGACAATCGATGGTGCTGGGGAACACGCTTTTGCGTGTTACAAGCTCATCGTCAGTTCAAGTTCGTTCTAAATTGTTTTCCAAGGAGACCAATCTCGATACTCTCACCCTAACATCGTACGTACCAGGGTATTGTGATCGCATGTACGATTGTTATAAAATGGTTAATTTTACTTGGAACGCACGACACATTCATCAAAATCATTTTTGCACAATAAACATACAGTATTCATAAAATTTTCATTGTTTATGAATTTCTTATAACATTAATGAAGCCAATAGACGCAAATATAGTTGTTTAGTGATTTTTAAATACAAATTGAGAACTTGTTATGAACTCAGATACAGTGATTTACAATTTATCACTCATAATAAATAGGATGTCGTTGTCGATTTTTATTTTTCTCAACCTTCATTCTCGATATTATTTTCTCATGATTTTTGCTTGTTCTTTTTATAAATCGATCGTGATGCGGACGGACAAAGATCTGAGTTTTATTGTACCCAAGAAATCGTTCTTCTTACAGTTATTCGCACTCTATAATTTAAAATGCCAAAGAATTTTGTGGCCAGAGATACACCAAGGAAATACTCATTCCGTTGACTCATCACGATCGTTTTGCATCATTCGAATGGACTCAACCAGTTTTGTGTTACACAATACAATCGTTCTGGTACATATCCTAATGCCTTAGTAAGCATTAGCAATTTTATCCATATCCTTTCTTTTGTTCTTAATACAATTTTTAACGATCAATTACAATAATAAGAATAATTAAAATGCTGAGTTTTAATATATATTATAATATTAATAATAATTAATAATAAAAATAAAATATCAATATAATATTTCGCAGTAAAAATTAGATTATAAGAATTAAAAATAGTGTAATATAAATTGATTGTGTTGAATATCATAAATTAATATATGTGAGGTGTTTTCGCTTTTAGTCTTTGGATTAATGCAATTAAATCTGTACAGTAATCTTTGGTGAATCGCATTACAAATTAAGCGGATTCAACATTTATATAATTACAAAAGCATTCAAGTATAATTCATTTTTTTTTAAAAAATAACTATTTCACTAAATAATTTTATAAGAGAAATCTAAATTATAAATATACATTTAATTTAGTAAATCATTCACGGTCCGATTGGTGAAATAGCTTTCAAAACACCGATCATCATTTTTTTCTGTTTTTCCTCGATTTTTTCATCTACTTCTTTCCATTTTGCATAAAATTTTTTTTACATATTTCCAGACAAATCTCTTCGAGTCACGCAATGTTAACGCTATAAGCTCTGTTTTCTCTAAAACTCTCCCATTACACCAAGAGAACATAGAAAACGATCTCGGTTCCCGCTTGGCCAGTTCGAGAAGGTCTTTCACCTCCCATCTTATTCTTCTTTCATATTGTGGCAACATAACCGCCATTTTTTCCCTCTTAGTTCCTCACTCCTTCTTTCTTCCTCTCTTTATTATTACCATCATCATTTATTTCTTTTTTGCTTTTGATATTTCGTTGAGTAATTTTTTGATAAAAAATAAAAAATAACGCCAGATAGTAACGAGCGTGACAATAAATTGAACAATAAGAAAAATAATTGAAGAAATTACATTGATCGATTACACTAGTTGCAGTATAAAATATCTGATTGACATATAACACTGTTATTAATTCTATGATTAAAATTAATTGTCATCAATCCTCGTGTTCTTACAATTTCATTTCTTTTTAAGTTTTCATCATTTCCTTTTCGTCTTATTTCACTTTTTTGTACGTATATTACGACGGTTTCGTGGTTTCTTTTTCTCACACTTTCGCAATAGATTTTTTTCTTTTTTTTCATTTTATTACAATCTTCACTTTTAGTTTTATTAATTCGTTATGTTTACAAATATTATTAATATTTATTATTAAATCTTATAAGTAAGTACCACACTAAAACATACGTGTATATAATTAATTAATTCAATTTATTTATTTGTTTATTATTTAATAATTAATGTGTAGCAATTACTATCTAGTGATATGAATTAGTTTCACTTGTAAAGCACTTTTAAATCCAACCTATTTTTTTTTATTTTCAATCCATTTCTGACTGAATATAAAATGTTTTTAAAGATACTTTCCACACTTGCAGAAATAAAGTTTTTCAAAATTATCTTATAGATTTAAAATCCTCCGATTTATTTATATTTACGATTTATAATAAATTAGTAATTTTTCTAAAAAAAACAAAAACATTTTTTCTTCTATAAGAGAATTGTTTCTTCTTCCTTTGATAAATAAATTCTACAAATTTTTTATACATTTAATTTTTATTCCTTTTTTTATTTTTTTGTTTAAATCGGTTCCTTCTCAAGAGAGATTTGTCTTGCTAAAAAGCCTTGAGGGACGTTTTTTTTCTTTTTTTTTCATGCGAATGCGAAGCATTAAAGGCTGGACAAAGAGTACAGAGGGACAGGGTTATTCTTTGGACTTATAGGAGATGTAATGGTGGAATTAAAAGGATAGAAAAAGAAGGAACTAGTGGTGAAGTTGAGAATATAAGAAAGATGTTTAGTTGAAAGAGAAGGGGAAAAAAGAAAGGCTGCAAATTAGAGCGGCGAGTTCGTCGCGGCGTGAAATTGGAAGTAAGCACGAGTCGTTTACGCCGCTAAGATTTCCGGTACTGAGGGTTATAAATCCTACGGAATGCGACGTTCCGTCGAGCTGTATCTTCAAGTCCTTATTTTTCCAAAATTTTTTTTATTAATTCCATTTTACCTAATCACGTTCATTGACGCTTTTTCGATTTCTATGGGCCATTTTTATCAAAATTTAACTCAAAATTTATATTAAATTGACAACAATGAGAAAAACTACAATGTTGTCTAGGAAAATTTATTAACAAAGACTTGTTATGCTTTTATTGTTGGACATAAACAATAATAAACAAGCAATGAACTATTGATAAAAATGACCCTTTAGCCTATTTAATTATTTAATTAAGGCCTCATATATTTCTTCAATCTACTTTCAATCAACTCTTTATGATAATTCATTGTTACAGTTTTTTGTTAGAAATTTCTCAATAAATAAAAATCTTTCAAAGTGAGAAAAATCTTTAAAACTTCTCTCAACTGTAAATCCGATCACTTTAACATTTTTTATTATTTTATTTTATTCTCGTTCACAATTTAAAGATTCGATTCGCAAATTTTTACGCTCCCTCGACGCGGAACGCCATAGTGAAATTGGATGCTAGAAATTTCTTGGAATTTTTAAATACATTTTCAACAGTTTCATGATGAAATATTTAAATAATAAATACATAGTTGGTAAATAGCTTGATAAATATTTTTATATATTGTGTGTATAAAAGTTGTTGAAGAATCCAAAAATTTACTTTCTTCATTCAAGAGTATAATAATAATAATAATATTAATCGATATGTCTTTTATTTTTGTTTTTTATTACTTAATTAGTTTTTTATTTTTTAATATTAATCATTAAATTGATTTGATATGTATTAATTTTATCACGAAATGGATAGAGCATTATTTTCTATATATCGCTAAATACTTTCACATATTTTTATCCTAATAAGACCCTTTATCAGAAATCGTTACATTCTATATAATATTGAATACCAATCAGGCAGTTATATTATTTACTATTGTACAGTAGATCTCTCAGAATTTCCCGCTAGATGACTGGTTAATAGTTGTCTACATATTTACACTTTATGTGAAAATGTTGATGATGATACGGGAAAAAATGTCTACTGCATTCCAAATAAATACAATAATATAAATAATATCAGTATCAGTAATTATAATCATAATCATTATCAAAGTAACAAATACATGCATTTAAAGGACGGTAGCGTTTAAAGGAACAAAAGAAAATGCTGAATGATTGGCGCGATTTGGTCCTGAAGTAGAAAAATAAGAAGTTTAAGTTCATGTATTCCTCCGAGTTATTTTATCATTTTTCTTTCATGTTGAATTTATTGTTTACTTTTTATTTTTTTTTTTCTTTTGCATTTCATATTTTCTTTATTATCTTTGTTTTACTATTTTTCAATTGGCGATGTCACGTAGCACATAACTGATATGTTCCGTTTTTTTTTTTTTGAAAGATATAGTGACATGTATTTTCAAAACTATACATGTGTATTTGTGTGTCTGCACGAGTATAGCACTATAAACTATCATTTTCCCTTTTTTTTTCTACGAATATGACGGCGGATGTCAATAAATCACGATATCTTGAACATTATCCGCAGCTTATACTACTATTATTACTATATATTACTATTAAGTATTACTTTATTAGTGATTTTTTTTTTCTAATTTTTAAAATCAAATCAAATTTTCTTTCGTTTTTTTTTTTCCTCTCTATAATTAATATATAACACTTTTATTTTACACTCACTTTCATACTGAACATCACTTGTTTATACCGTACGTATGAATTTGTTAGAAGTGTCTACTATTATTATTAGTTAATAATATAAATGCCCGGTGATGTAAGGAAAAAAGGATATCCCAGAGTTATTTATCGTAAAGTAAATTACAAGTGGCGTTTATAACTCAAGTGGTGACATGTACGTTGAACAAAAACGTCAAGATTAACATCAAGTCGTACGGATTACTGTTAAAATAGTAGTGAAAAAAGATGGAAAAAGTGTTGAAGGATAAGGATAAGAGAAAAAAAAAGGAATTAAAAATGGGGTTGGATTAATCCGGTTGAAGCGACGGCATTTGACGATTACACAGGACGTGACTTACGGTACAGTTAGCATGACTCGACCAACGGGAAGGCACTTGGGCAAATTACGTGCCGAGTTGGCCGTTCTAGCACACGGGGCACACCTTTGCTACCTTATTATAAATACACAAACGTTGTATATTTTATATTTTACTTTTTTTATCCCATCGATGCGATTGTTTTCACTCATATCTTAGCTTTTTTTTTTTAATATTTCGATAAATTACACCTTGTCCTCTCAATATACCTTGCCTTAATCCTATTGATATGTTCGCATTCGTAATAATTTATTTTAATGACTTAATACTTTTATCCCTCACCTATAAGACAATTTATTCAATTTCTTCCTAATTTTTTTTTTTGTTTTAGTAGTCTCTTAATCATTTCATCACTATTTTTCACTTTCATTCGTTTTTTACTCAACATCTCTCGCACAAATGTTTAACATTAAAATGCTCCTTATTTATCGCGATATTGATGATAATAAAAACATAAATACACGTTTCTTAGGGCACCTTTGGTATGAAGCTTGATGTTCGTGTAAGGATTGAATTTTTACGATGATTGTTTATATTTTCTTCTCGATTAATTATTTCCATTATTTTACCTTTCAATTTGTCATATTATTTAACTTTGTTTTTTTTTTTTCTAATAAACATTCATTCATTTTCATTGTTTTTCACAACATTCCTACTATCTTCTGGCTTACATTCAATTTCATTCAGCTATCAAAATCGTTTTAACTTTTGTTGCCATTCATACTACTATTATTATCATTTTTATTATTATTCAATCTTTTGAAGTTCGATGATGAATCAGCATTTGCTTTGTCGCAAGTATAGCCATAATTTTGTTGAATTAAAAATTTAATCAAACCTAATACAACCTTCTAAAAGTATTGAATAAAGTCATTTATATTTCAACAATATGTACTTGATAGATTTTTTCAAGTAAGATATTATTATTTTAAGAAAATACTTTGTCAATTACATGATATCAGTTTGAATAATAATATGAATAATAATAGTATTATGATGAATTAGCTAAAATTTAACAATTTCGCCTAGAGATTCTATGAAAATAGATAATGATTAAAAATAGACAATGACAAAATTTAAACTGATAAAACAAAGTTAAAACGATAAAAGTATTTATTTCTAATTAAATTTTTCTTGCATTTTCTCTTCTATATTTTTCTTGCATTCAATTATCCGGTGAATTTTAATCTTTTCTGGCAGAGCAACGTGCGTCCACATGGTCACGTTCTTCAAGTCGGTTTATTCGTCTTCTTGACTTGAAGATGTTGTTGAAAGAAACCGCTTTTAAGAGACGTCGATTTTCTCGTTTCTACCTCTCACTTGGTGTCTAGTTCTTTTCTTATTCTTACTTGCACACGCCATAACGTTGGCCTTGTTGGTCACTCGAGAGATCCCCTTTTGCCTCATCTTCTTCACATCCCATTTATGTCGATCTTAAGGTTGCCCGTTTTTTTCTCCCTTGGATCCCTGGAAAGCATAAAACATAATGTTAAATAAATTACTTGATTATGTTTTTTTTATTTTGGTTTATTTACTGTTGTGAATCCATTTGAAAAAAATTAAAATAAAAAATTAACACTCATTTTAAGAACATATTGATGATGTGAAAATGTTCTTGGGTAAGTAAATCAATCACTAATATTTATCATTAGCAAGTTATTTCAAATATAATTTAATAAATGGCTTGTAAACTATATACACAACCTTTATTTTTTATATTGTTAAGCGTTTTTATTTAATTTCTCAATTAAATAGTGAAAGAAAAATATTTAAATAGCACAAGCCTTTCATGGATTGTTTAAAAAACTGTAGGCAATCAGTGGCTTATTATAATATAATATACAGACATTCATTGACGGAATAAACGAGAGTAGATCGATAATAGAATTGCGGTCAACTAAGTATCGATCCGAGTCACATAAAGTTGAAAAAAAAAAATAAAATACAGAAAATGTTTATTTGATCAGTATAGTAATTAGTGTAAGTACAATAATAATAATAACCACATAAAATAGTGCTTAATGAAAAATTAAAAACAACCACAAATGATAGATGGAATTTAATTTAAAGACAGTGACACAATATATATATATATATATATATATATATATGTATGTATGTTAGAGTTTAGGTATGTGTGTAAATAATAATGACCAAAAATGATAATGATAAGAGAATATGGGGAGAAAATGCAGTAGAAAATAGAATGAATTTATAATAAAAGATACCATCTTTCATATTATATTGTACGTGAAAGCGTGAATGAAGACAGGAAACGAAAGTTTGTAATAAATTAGTGGCCCGCCTTAAAAAACATGAGTCATTTAATACTTTTATTATTTGAGAAATGATCAAATGAAAAAACAAAACATTTTTTCTTTCTTCAAATAATTAAGTCGTTGGCGACCGTTTCAGGGCAATTGTACCATAACAAGAGAAAAATTTACTGTTATAACTGTCAACCAATTTCTTTCATGACTGTAACAAATTCTAAAATAAAATTTTTTCCTCCATAAAACTAGAAAAAAATGGAATAAAATGACTTTTAAAACATAAAATAAAATTCAACGTGTGTGTAATGACATAAATCAATGCATGATAAAATGTGAAACTTTAACAAGTATTAATTTCTTTGTAATTTTTGCTCGTAAACTGCATAAAATAGAACGATATTTCCTTGTTGATATAATATATTGGAATCATTGTATCTCTTAATTACTAAATTATACAGCTGCTGCTCTTATTACACCGTACAAACTATTCTATGTATAATTGCAAGTAATTATTTGCATTTTCTTAAAGAGGTATAACGATAAAGAATAGATTAACTGAGTTATATTAAACCAAGTCTTGATGGGAATTTTTTTCTGATGATGCTAAAATAATTACTTTGTCATAATCCTTTTTAAAGTTAATATTAATAAGCTTGCGAGTTAATAGAATATAATGCTTTAATGTGATCTCATGAAGAAATATAAAAATGAAAAATTCATTCTGGCTGTCAAAAATTAACACTGATTATTTTTACTAATATTTTCCATGGGATTATAATTAATTTTTCATTTTTGAAGTAAATAATTAATTTGGAGTAATTTAATTTAAAAGAGTGGCTAACTTAAAATTATTTTTAACTTATTTTACAAATAATTAAGATGATTAAAAGCTTAAAAAATGTTCATTTAAATTATTACTTGGTGATTAATAAAAAAAAATTTTAACAGTTTCAGAAATTAAAAATAAAAATATACAAATGATTCACTGACATATTAACATTGACCTCAAAAGTGTCATTAACCAATTAATAACAATCACTTAACCATTACCATCAACAAGCTTTATCATGAAAAAAATATTTTTCAAAACCGTCAACAAAAATGACTGGACAATTAGCATTGAAAAAAATTTTTTAATAATCTGAGAGCTTGACAGTCGCACAATAACAATAGAATTTTTTTGTTTGAAATGGTACTTAATTTTTGAACAATAACTTGAGACTTACACAAATGTGTGTTGTAATTATCTCTAGTACAAACAATAATGATAATAATAATGATCGTAATAGTGTGACAACCAAAAACAAAAAAATAAAACTCACAAAATGAAAACAAAAAATCAAAAGCGCCTTCAAGTGAATGTGCAACACGATTAGATAAAATGAAACCTACTTCGATCCAGAGATTTGTAAAGCCCACCTCGGCCATTTTCGACTTTGCATATTCAATTCTTATCGGTCCCCGGTCGGAGGAGAGGAGTAAGGATCCTTGAAGGGCAGCCATCGCTTGAGCCGCGTAGCGAACGTCTTGAAATTCGACGAAAGCCACGGGCGAACCTCCCTTTGTGTGCATACGAAGCCGACAGAAACCAGTAAAACTGTGCACAAATAAGAAAAGCGGTACAGATACGGTGCGTTTTTATTTTTTTTCTTTTTAATTTATCGTTAATTTGTAAAGAGCTTTTTTTTTTAGTTTTAGAACTATTTAAATATATATATATATATAATAAAAATGAATTAATTATTTACAAATAGATGTTGAATTAAAGTTGATGAAGAATTTCAAGAACCGTATTACACTACAAGATCAAGTGTTATTTTTATTATTAAATATTAGTGTCAAGTGACGTCAGTGAAAATAATAATTTATATAATATCAGCGCCATCACCTGCATTTAAGTGGCGGTAATAAATTTTACGTGCAGTAAAAAATATTTTTTTACGGACGATTTCTATGGAATTGCAAAATAAAAAGATGATGATTCAAGTTAATTTAGTAAAACATGAAAAATAAAGAAAAAATTTAAATATGTATATATATTTATTATATGTATAAAAAAAAATAAAAGTAATACTTAATTATCGTGCAGTTTTGTATTCTATCCAGTGACGAGCATCTTTATATACAAAAAATACTTGAGAATTTTGAATATACAAAAATTTCTTTATGTTTATGAATGCACTCGCAACTAGTGTGTTAGTGCATTTGCTTTACTAAAGTATATGATCTACATCTTATTAACATGAAGAGAAATAATGATATTTGAGAAGCTAGAAAATATTTGTATATATATATAGATATATAATATGAAGAAGGAAAAAAAAATCAAGTGGAAAGAAAATGATGTCTGATGTGCTATTGGCAAGTTTGTACGTGTTTCCGGCGTCGATACTTAGTAACTTTTTAGTAACTCCTTCTTCATAGCCAAACTCTAACCTTTTATTCTCTTTTTTTCATTCATCCTCTTTAGTATTTCTTCTCTTCTATATTCGTCGAGATTTTTCATTCCAGTAAAGGCCAAGTTGAGAAGTTACGAGTTTACGGGAAAACTAACGGGTTTTCAGCGCCTTCTCTAGAGAGAAAGAGCAAGCAACGAATGAGTCCACTAGAACTCGCAAATTTATTTTTATACTTTTCTACTGTAAAAACTACATAGTTGTATGTGTGTATTTATTTTTAATATTCCAGTATGAATTTAAGTGATTTTAATATCATAATAACCTCTATGGGACCATATATGTCTAGTAATATTAATTATCATCATTTTTTTCTTCCCATCATAAACAAATTACAATAATAATTATTGTTATATCAGAAAATTGCAATATATTTTAACAAAAAAATATTTTATTATCAAATAATAACTCTTCAATTATATATTCCTCTCACCTATTATGCAAACTGTGTGTAATTATTTTTTAAACAATTATTTTATTTAAATACCAGAACCTTTATCGTTTAGGAAACGATAAAAAATATTTTTTTGTTAAAAAACAATAATAATTAAAGCCGATGGTTTAATTGTAGAAAGTAATATTGTTCTTTTAACGATTCTGTGAGATTATATTGCCTGGCTGCATTTTAAAGTTATGTGCTATGAATAGAATACACGTAGAGTTAATAAAAAATTCAGAAGAAAATTATAGATATTGAAAGTGACCGTTTTTTTTTGTTCATATGCTTCCGATGGTTTCTGAATACAAGTAGGAGCTTTAACGTGCTCGATGAAACGAAGATATCGATTTTTACTGAGAATAAGGGAATCATAGGGAGTTTGAGTAAGAGGTATATCCATCCCTACATCTACTACAGTAGTATATGTTGTAAGCATATCGCATCACAAATGACCCTCGGGCATACACGGATTGCCCATCATTCCGTTATAATATTCAAATACTAGTTTATACTGTCAAGTAAATATTCCAAATTATAATTCTCATATGAGATAATAGTAATTAATATATAAAATGGATATTCATTAGTGCAAATTTAGTAACTCAATTATTCAATATAATATATTATCTTTGCATAATCATTCTATAAAAATACTTTTACTTGATTATAATGCCTTGCTTTTAATTATTATTTCATTATAAAATTGAATTATAAAACACGATAACTTTAATTCATTATTAAAATTCCTCTTTAACAATTTATTTTTCAAGATATTATCAGTCTAAGGTCCTTTTTTAATAATATTTTAGATCTAAATACATTATTTAATAATATAAAAAAATCTTGAATAAAATTGACCTAAAACTTTAATTATTTTTATTATTAATTTAATTAATTTCTAGAGGGTAATGTATTAAGATAATTTTTTTTGTACTTTAGCCTAGTCTTACATTTTACTCAAATATTAGACATTTTTAAAAGACAGGAAATAGTGTGAAATATATGGTTATATAATTGTGTTCATGTTGACAGTCAACGGACTTGTTGTTAGTAACGCTCCATTGATTTGTTTATTTTCAGATTGCGACTGAGACTAGAGCTAACTAGGCATACATATTAATCTATCATAGTTTTGATTTGTCTTATTTAATAAACTAAAAATATCATTTATCAAATAATTATTAGAAATTAATTTTCAATTAATTTATTTTCCGAGTCCTTTAAGCATGGTTTTTTAAATTTCTTCTTTTTATTTATATTTAAAATCAATAAAATCACTAAAATATCCAAAAAAATATGTACATTACTATTCATCAGATCTAGTGAGAACTACAAACAAAACATCAAATATTTTCTATGCAATGTTGACTCATGAGAAACAATAGAGAAGTAAAGAGATGCTAAATAATCCACTGGGACTCACACGAGGGTATACATAAAGTAAAAACCAAAAAAAAAAAAGAAAAAAAGAGGATATCATCTAGTCTATCACCTCATTTTCTTCTTTTCTCTCGGTCGTTTATTTCTTTTCGTCATGTTTTTTATCTTTTATGAAGTCACAAGTAGCAAACACGCCTACACACCTCGCAATCATAATCTCAATGATAATCGTGAGAAAGAAACGCGAGCCAAGCGAATATATTTATGTACGATGTGGTAGCAAGTCCGCAAAACCACAAAATGAATAACTTTTTTCCTTTTTTTTTTGTTCAACAACCAACTATGTTTCTACATCACCCCGTTTTTTCCTTATAACTCTCGCTTAGCAACCTGTGGCTTCGTTAATTTAATTTATCTAAAACTTATTATTAAATATAATTAATAAATGCGGAATTACAGAAATAATTATTTACAAAATAAATATTCCACTTGAAAAACAACCATTTTTCTTTAAACAACATCCAATTGCTACACTTCCCATTCTCAATCTACATTTGGAATTCAATCTCCACCAATTTATTCTATTTTTATCCCAACATCATTATAAACTTCTAACATTCCATTATCTATTTAAAATAGATGAAATGATTTAATTATATCATCGAACTCCAAAGTACTTTTAATAAATTTGATGACAAAAAAAAAATCCCTAATTGATTTTTTTGGCAGAGAATTACACCTGTGGATTTGGCAAATTGAAGTATTGGTTGATGTTATGGAGAGACATTGGGGGGTGATGAAAAGTGAAAAAATACAGGAAAACGGTGCAGGCTTCAATCGATCGGGGTCATATTCATCGAGACGTTGAAGCCAGAGTCGAGAGCAGTCGTAAAACAAGAGGGGGAAAAAGATAGAGATATATATGTATACATATATATGGAGGGTAAGCATCGGGCTACGTAATTTGAGGGTGTATTGTAGCATAGCTGACGGGTCCTTAGCCCTTGGGAGACACGCGTGTCTGAAACCGACCATTCCCTTTACCCCTATTATGTAGTCTGTCTTATAATTATCCTCACAGACGGTTTTCCAATTAACTGCAAACACCACTGTGGTTAGCGCCTCGAAATACGTTTCTAATAAATTTATCATCTGTTTAACAGAATGTTCTAATCATCTATCTAATTACATTTTATCCTTTTGATTTATTTAATGAAGAAATTAGCGATTAATGTTACTCCTGCTAAAATCAATAATACTTGTTAGTTTATTTCATAATTAATTACACTTCAAGTTTCATGTTTTCAATTGTTTTAAATATATTCTTTTTTTAAATAGAATATAATATTAATAATTAATCATGATAGCAATAATGTTTTTTAAATATTCATTTACTATTAAATGAGTTGATAGCTTGCAACCCTATCTCCACCTCCAATTTATAACTTATCTTTTATTCCCCTCAATGAAGGGAGCAATGACCAAGTATTTTTGATTTTTTTGATAAATGTTAATTAATTTTAATCATATATACCTTCCATGTGTTCATGATATTTCCCCTGATATAAATACCCAATGATTTTTTATTTAATCTTCAAAACTCAGAAAATAATTTCTTTTTAATTTCCAACAAATAGATATGTATTTGAAATAAAGATAAATAATTTATCAAAACTCTATCAAGTTGGCAACGGTGTTGGTCGATTGTACAGGCTTTCGAATAAACGATATGAATATTAATTCACTAGTGCCCTTTTAAATGGAATCGATACGAGTTTATACGAATTGGAACAATTCATTATCAAGAATAATTCATTGTTTTATATGTACAGGACCAATATGGCACATTCAAAATTCTAATAACTAAAATATTTCCAATTATCACTGATTATACTCGTCATTACATCAATGAATATTCATTTATTATATTTTAAAAAATAATTTATAATTATTTTGTAGAATAAAAAAATTTTTTTTTTCCATTAATTATTTTTCTTTTCTTGTTACATTTATGTTTTACTCCTTTTTTTTTGTCTGTTCTCTCAAACTTCATATCTGCAATGAACTCGGTTTACTTCACTAACGAACCTACTAACAGACCACCACCGGAAGCAGGAAGATGACGAGTCGCACGTTCGCACGTTCACAAATGAGTATGCTTGTGTATAGTCTAGCTAGTACTTAACTGCCATTGAACCATATGATGTCATGAGTAGGAACAAGAGGGTCATGAACTTTTTAGCTTTCAAAATAGTACTTTTAGAAAAGTATACAAAGAATTTTTTTTCAATCCTGCCTTAGTTATATTTATAATAAATCTTGGTTTTATTCAACTATGGAAGAATAAACTGATGAGAAAAAAGGAAAATACTTAATTTAATAAGATTGATTAAATTTTGTAGTGACTTAAAGACACAGCAGGGAAGTTTAAATTATTCAACTTTAACTATCATCCAATTATAAATATATTACAGATAAAATAATACGCGGCAGTTTTTTTAGTCTAGTTTAAAGAGGACTTTTTTTTAAATATTTATGAGGGAAATATTGAGATTTAAACGTTTGTTGTGACGAAAAATTAATCATTTGTATCTGATAAACTAGAATGAATAGCAGTGAAGAGGATTCTTATCGTCAGACAAAAGCAGAATGGAAATTTGTTGGATTCGTTGTATTATATCGATTTCAACAATCATGAATAAATTTATCGATTTATTTATTTACTGTTTCTTTATTTTTATTTATTTCAACTTACTGAGAAATAAAAACTTATTACTCGATTTTTTACTTTTTAATTGAATAAATAAGAATTTATTAAACTAAGTAAAAGTAAATATCTGGTATACACAAATAAAAGAAGTAGTAATTGAAAATTTTGAAATTTAAATGTAAGTATGTGTACTGAAATTTTTATTTGACTGGCTGAGTTGTTTATAATTAATAATATATAATAAATTTCAATGTGCTCCTGTAATTTATTGTTAAATTGAGTGGAAATTTATTTCCAAATATCAATAAAATATGAAATTCATTGAATGAAGATGGTTAAGTTTATTACAATATCATTATGACAGGGCATAAAAATTTTGAAAAATGATGAGTAATAAAAAAATCACTCACTGTCAAATATAATAAATATTCTACTACAATTTAAATTTTTTGTTCACATAATTCCTCCTATCAATGTATTTATTTCTGGTCATAAAACAACAAAAAGTACCAATAAATATCCCAAGATGTCGTACCAATCTTGAAACATGGATTTTTGTTTCTAAAGAGCAGGGTGAACTTTGTCTAAATCCATTTTTTCAAATTAAAAAGAAACAGCTTACATTTAGGGTAACTTCAGAATCTATATTCCTATTTAAAGGATAAATAAACGAATTCCCACAGACTGTTATATTTTTAAAAAGCCCTCAAACTACTATTGGATCCAAAAACAATGATCATCAAGCAAACATAACATCTAGGGTCTGCATATTAGCAGTTAAACGAACTTAACTAAACACAACAGCTATCATTGATTATTTGTACTATTATTTACGATCTGCATAGTGTTTCTAAAGGCAGAGTCTGTTGTTATCACTAACCTGTTGAAGATCTCGGTGAGTTCGTGCTCAGACACAAATTGGCCAAGATTTGCAACGAAGAGGGTTGAGCAGGGAGCATTACTAACAGCAATACTTGGTTGTGAGGACGATGAACCAACTGGAGATGCTAATGCTGGTGATGGTAGAAAATGTGGTAAAGATGCATGTATCGACGTCAATGTTGTTGGATGGGGTAGAGACATCGGTGCCTGTTTACAGAAAATTAAATAAAACTTTTCATTTATATTCCATTTTGTCTGTCCTTTAATCTCATTACTTTTAATTACACTGGCTAATTGTATTCATTCATATTATATTAACTTCTGTTAGCTATATTTCAATTAACGTGCATCAGCTAATTTTTAAATTAATTAGTTAATGAACTTTTTACGCTATCATTCTTTAGTTTTATTTAACTTATTTTAATGCATTTAATGCTTTGTTTAAAGATGTTATTTATCTAGATTCAAGTAAAAGTAAATGAAAAATATATTAATTTGTATTAATAATGTTTGTCAATACTAGAATTTACTTGGAACGAATTTTGTATACAAGAGTATATAGTGTATTTAGTGTTTTATTGGTTTCAGTATCGACGTTTCGGACTTGTGGCCCCACCAAACCACACCAGCTTAGTGTTGCAAGAGGGTGAGGTCAGACAGTAATAATGTAAGCATCGAGACATCAAAACTCGATTAATAAAATACCCACGAGTAAAATTCTCACAAATGTGTTCATACGTTCCCTTCATCTCTAATATTTCTAGAATAAAATATCCATTCATTGATGTAATTGATGTGTTTCGATGGAATTATCACGTCAATGTGGGTATTAACGACAATAGGAATTATTTCAGACTTTAATTCTGCTTAATAATTATTTCAACATGTTCAAAATATTTAAAAGTAAATCATATGATAGCAGTTACAACTGAACCTTCTACTCTTGTTGACATTTCATTAAATGAAAACCATTATTTTCATTTGATATGCACTCTAATTTTTCATTGTTCTACATTTTTATTACTGTAATAAACTTTTAATGTATTCATAATAACAATAATATTTTCTCACTAGTGATTTTTTGTTTATATTTCTTAAATGCTATCAATTTCTATTTTAAAATGCTGATTGTACTTTAAAAGATGAGTTATTATTCTTCAATGAAAAATGAGGTTTGAAATTATCTACAGTTTTGAGGTATATTTAAAGAGTACATGGTGAAGATTAACGTACAAAGATAAATAGATCATGTAAAAGTTTGATAGAATATTTAACAATCATAATTTGCTTTATGCTAGAACAATGAATGTCTGTTTCTACAGACTGTACAAGATTTAGTAGTAAGCCCCAATTATAATCCGACGCATGTTGATTTTCCTTTAGTGTGACTAGACACTCGACAAACTTGCTCTTATGCTGATTAACCTCCAAATGTCTCTTCTCTCATTGTTGAAGTTAAGGAGTTTGTAAATTCTCTCACGAATTAACGTCAACTTTTGATAAACGATACTAAGCTTATGGTCATAAAAGCTCCTCTACTATTGTAGACAATGGCATTACGACTTTACGTTACACGAGTCATTTATTCGGTTCTTTATTCTTTTTCTTTCTGATTTTTAGATGAGAATGAGGTCTAGTGAAAGAGATTAATCGATATAAAAAAATACTTAGATCACAAAAAAATTTGCAACTCATTTTTTTGTCATGATTCTAGTGTTATTATTTTTTGGGTCAATAAGAAATGGTTATTGTATAAATTTCTATGTCTGAGCTTTTAAATAAATAGCTTTTTATAGAATATAATATTCTACACAATATAAAAATAGATTTTATCCTCATGTTTTTCAAAGCTTTAGTTGATAGAAACAATTACATTTAAATCAATCTAATATTAAAATTCATTAAATTTTAAAGATAATAATATCAAACGGTATTTCAATCACTGATTCATGATAAGAAAATAAAGAAAACGTTTTTACTTTTAAAATAATGAATTACTATATCATCTATTTATTATTTTAAAAAACGTTATTTAATTGCAAATCCTTGTAATTTTTATTTTATGAGTTAAAAATAACTTTCTTTAGTTAATTTTTTTTTTTTCAATTCATGCCAGATAAAGAACACAATCAACAAATGAACGTGACGTGACACATAAGCATTGCAACGTTTTAATTAACATTTTTTGTAATATTCTACAAATACATGAGTATATTTTTCAACAAGTTTTATTTATTTATTCATTCCTACTTATTGCCCTCTTGTTGAATAAACTTTACTTTTTATTGACAGAGTAATTTCTACGTTTTTATTCTTTTCATATAAAAAGGCCTATTTCATATCACCTCAATTCAATTTTTTTTTTTTCAACATTTACTCGGTAACATAATATTTTCAATAGGAATCGATAAATTTGCATGACCTATCGGTACTTTTAGATGCATGCAAGACGTTTATTGACTTGTACATTCTATCGTATTTTTCTAGACAATATTGTCAGGTCTCAATAACGTTGATATCCCTACTTTTTTCTCTACAATTTTTTTACCTTCATAAAATAGATAAAAGTATAAAGAAGCCTGACGTACCTGTGTGTACCGAGGTACGCGTGACGCATGCGCATTAAAGTGATAAACTCAAGAATAATCAAAGAAATAAAAAATATTGGGGTAAATATACAGTAAAAATTTTAATCGATAATTTTTCGATCAAACTACATTACTATTAATCATTTGTATCTGTTTGTGTCAAGACTCATTGTTATTGGCCAAAAAAAAAATAAATGTACATATCAGATATCATAAATAATGTAAATGTCGAATAAATCTTTTCTTATTACCTCTAATTAATTACAATTAATGATATCATAAATAATGATTTTACTTCTTAATGGTTGAATAATCCGTTCGTGAATTTATGCCATTATTTAAATCAACTTTGATTTAGAAACTGGCGTTAACTTGATTCCAAACAACCGTAATGAATTTTTATTTATCGAACCAATTCCATGGAAAATATTATATTTATTTTTGTAGTAAAAATAAATTAAAATTTTTTATTCACGTAATAATATCAAATAATAAATGAGTCTTTTCGTTTTACTGTTTAAGTCAAGCAGTATCATTATAAATAATTTATACTTATGTTATAATTTTTCAACTGTGATATTTATGAAATTAAATGAATAAATTGAATTTCGTATTCATTTCTTATTAGCTCTAGCATTTTAATAATGAAATACTCTATTGACCTTTAAAAATATTTTTCTAAGAAGTGAAAAATTGTTTTCATTAGAATAATTTAATTTTAGAACCCTATGAATATGTAAACTTCAATAAATTCTAACATTTTTTTTTATATCAAAACTTTTAAGTAATTCTTCAAAATAATTTTCGTGAAAGCAAGTTTGAGAGCTTGTACTTTTGAGAGGCTTCTTTTTTAAATTATTATTCAAACTTGTATCTTAATGTATAAAATGATCTCAATTGAAATTTGATATTCTAAAACAAACGTATTCTACTTAAGAGCAATTATCAATGTACCCTCGACCATTTCATAAATATTAATCATTGAATAATTATGACAATTGGAAATTCTACTAAGATTCCTTAGTCGTTTTGTAAACTAATAAAAGATCAATGGAATGTATTCTACATCATTTACTTCACATCAAGATTACGTTCGCTTCAACCATATAAAATTGATTTGAAGCAGATTTCCTGTTGAAATTATTTTAGTCGTTCAGTTGATTGATTTGATGTAAAGCTAAAATTTAAATCTAATTTTTATATGATGTTGTGGATATAAATATTCACGACGAAAAATTTACAGAGACAACTTTACTTGGAATTTTAAACACATCTCAAAAACTGCTATGAATAGATCTAGAATAAACCCTACATTGCATTTTTTTTACTTTTGATTGAACAAAATGAGCACATAGTTGTATGTGTATGAAAGATCAGCAAAAATGTAAATTAAACATCATTTTATATATCAAGACAAGAAGATTACTACTTCTCATGTACACTTTGCTGATATTTAAACTTGGGAATTACAGATTCCTTTGATTTTTATATACGTTATAGAGTGGTCTCCCCTAATAACTATGTAAAATGGTAAGACGCACTTCACTTTCATTTTTGAGAAAAATGAATTTCAAGTTCAAGTCCACTCGACTCATTTTTTTTCCAAATTTATTTATTTTATTAAATTTATTTTTTTTATTAAATAATTTGTTATTCTAATTAATAAATAATCTTAAATAGAGGGGAGACTATTCTATAACATATATAAAAATCAACGGAAACTGTGATTCCCAAGTTTAGGACTTTCCTTGTCAGCTAAAAACTCTAACAGTGGATGCCATAATATTCAATGAAAAGTTTAAGTAAAGTTTCCTAAAAAATTACTACAACTTCTATTGTATAATACTTGATTTCTTGATCATTAAGTAGATTAGATTACAACAAAAAACTAAACTGTATGACTCAACACCTCATTTTTGACTTCTGAACAAGATTAATGACCTAAAAATCCTTAACGATCATCACCTAAATCTTGAGCTCTGTAAACTACTAGTTCACGTATAAATTAATGTCATCAGCTATGTTTATTTTAAACCACACCATAACTAAATATGTGGTTGAGAGCGTCCAAAAATAAAGACGCCCAACAAGTGTTAAAAACGTACTAGAGAAAAAAAAATGAATGTATCAAAGAAAGTTTTTAGTTTAAAAGTAGAAAACGAGAAAAACGATCATGTATCACTAACGTGCATCGGGGCGCTCGTCGGCGGCTCCAGAGCTTTGTCTGCAGATAGTCAAAGATAGGAACGTACGGGGACCTGAGGATGTAATGCAGGATGAACGAGCGTTGCATGTTGAAGTGTCCCTTGGAGTTCACCAGCTGCTGAATATGCCAATGGATGATGCCATAATTCCGGAGCACCAGGGAAGAATGGGCTTCCTAAGTCTGCAAAAATTTCATCATATTTTAAAGTATCTGATTATTCATCATTAACTGATATTACAGTATTTATAACAACATTCAACAAAGAACTTCCATCTTACACTTTGACCTGAGATCTTAGTCTTTGATAATAGAACTTAACTATCTCTCTATCGTTTCAAGTTTCATCCTTGGTTAAATTGCTCACTGTCTTAATGTTTGTTGCAGAATTTCGAGTATCTCTAATTATTTAGATCATTTTGAAGGCTAAAGAGCACCGTTGAGTCCTTTCTTTATCGTATTACAGAAAACTTAACTTCATACTTTAGGTTTTATCGATCAACAGACTCCAATATTTACTGATAAATTATTTCTTCATCGCGAATCCATAACCTGAATCGCTTTTAATTAGTAGTGATGTGAGCTGGTGAAATATTAATGAGACTTTTATTTCCAAGGGATCAGATGTAATGAAAATTAATGCCATATTTACGGGTGCTTTAATTTTATGAGGTTGAGGATAAAAATAGAATGATGTAATTAATCTAATTTTAATGAACAAAATAATCAATAAATTTCTCTTTTAAAATTTTTTTGAAGTCTTTTTTAAATAAAAAATTGCACAAATTTATAACTTGTATTCATTTTATTTCATCATTTTTTGATTCTAAAAAACTTACTCTTAATAAATAAAAGTTAGTAGAAAATCAATAAACCCATAAATACTTTTTCAATTAATATCGACACAAACTGTTCAAATATTCAAACAAAAACTTCATCCTGCCAAGGAAAGAAAGTTAGCAAGTTATGGCTCAGCTTATTACTGTTAGACTTCATGTAACTTGGAAACAACTTTCGTTTCATAAAATAAAAATACCTTGAACTGTGAAACTTTCATTATCACGTATGTAGTATTAATGTTATAATTTCAATCGAAATAAAATTGTGTCATTGTTATTTGTATGATATGAAATGACGTAGTTTGGATAGATTTATTATTCGTATTCTATTGAACAAGTCTAACCCATCTGTCAGTGCAAAACTTTGACATTTAAATTATTGATTTGGAAATATTAGAGATTATATGAATAAAGCATGATGTATCAACGTGATTAACTGCTTATGGCAGAAATAGATTTGATTTCCATTGCTGAATATTGATTTTTAATAGAGATTTCTTGGAATAGTCATTTTTAAAAACTATTTTAATGAATAAAAATAAATATAATTATTTTTCATAATTAAAGTTATTAATGAATAAGATTTTTAGAAAATGACTAATAGTATTTTATAACGACAGACATGATGAAATAAAATAATTTCCGGTTCTGGAATGAGTGAAGCATTGTGTTATTTTCACTTCTCTTCTGCTGTCTTTTTTTAATGTTTATTAAAATGTTGTGATGGAAAAGTTTTCATTATTTCAATAAAAATATTCTATAACTTTGACAGTGTAATTATTTTTTGTTAGACAATACTTTTATCACAAATCTGTATAAAATTATATACCATTGAGCATCACCTGTAATTATTTTTTTAGTTATCAATTGATAAAAAAAAATCATAAAATGATAATGAATAATATTTTTAGATAATTTATAAAAGGTTCGATTGATAAAAAAAAAACAGTTATTATATATTATTACATAATTAAATGAAGTGTCTATTATGTTTTTCTGTCATATTTAATTGTCTGTAAAAAATAGACATGGAATACAAATTTTTATCGTTCTCAGGAACTCGAAATCTCTCATTATTACAATGACTCACCAAGGATGAAACTTGCTCACTAACTCTTAACTCAATTTTCCTATCTTTCTTGTTTTGCTCTACCTCTCGTTCAAGATTCATTCTGAAGGAAAAACAATATAACTGTCTTTTTTGAAACTTGATTCTAGCCCCAAGGTACTTAAAAATGAACAAAAACCGGAAAAAATAAGCTGAACAAGAAGACAATAACGTAAAAACATGAAATTGATAAACAGTAAACTGGAATAAAAATATAAAAAATAAATTAAAAAAAAAATTAAATTAGGATAAAACCCATTTTCCAGATTATATTGTGCTTCTTTTAAAGAAGAAAAGTCGCTTTAATTTTTTACATCATATCGATTAATACTTTATTATTATTTTTATGATGATTTGACACGAAAAGAATAACTTTTCCTTGATCAATAGAATTCTTTTATTTTTAGTGCGCGTGACTCTGAAATTTCATGCGAGTGTCAAAGAGTTTTTAGTGGTCAGATAAGAGAACTGGAATATAAGTAGAGAGTGTAAAGAATAGTAAAGATGTCACGAACCCCTTTTCTGCCATTGATTGAGAGAAAAGAAATTACCTTTATCAGCTAAAAAAAATTTTTTTTTGAATTTAAACATCACCAATAACTAATTTTTATTGTAAAATAAAAATCTAAAATCCTTTCGAATGATGATAATGTTATGTTTTTAATATATAGTTGTGAAAAAATAATAAATGAAGTTATATTTGGAAAAGAAAACAAATTAAATTTGAATTGAATTAAAACCGTTGTAAAATTTTATAAGTATTTTTCAATATTGTGGAAAATCGGGTAAATGATTTTAAAATTTACAATAATTAATCATGCACTTAAAACATGAATTTTTGATAATCGATACTTTCGAATGTGATGGAAATAAAATATTTTAGTCATTTAATATTTTTAAATAAATGAGTGTTTGAATTTAAATATATTTATAGAAACATTTTTAATTTTAAATCATTTATTCATTTTTAGAGGATTATTAACAGACTCTTCTACATATTTTTTTCCGCCTAAAGAGCTACTATTCTATTTAGTCCATGATAAAAAATAGATTATTCATATTTTCAAATTGAATTCTTTAACCATAAAAAATATTCTCTCCTTTAAAACTGAATCTTTTACATAATCCAACTATTCTCATAATATTTTAATATTTCCACTCTTCACTAATAATAAAAAATTCAAAAAATTCTTTACCTAAATTTAAATAACCGCAATTCAGTTTAATTAATGAACTTTCAACCTACTCTTGTTAATTCACCTTCAACGAATAATTCATCTGCTCACCTGAAAATCAATACCTTCAACAAATCTTTTTTCAACAAAACAACCCTTCTCCTTTATTTCCTTCATGAAATACCCTTTCCTCAATTTCACCTATTTAAACACGTCGTACATGAGTCTCTAAATAACAAATCTACGTAAGCAGAAAAGGGCTATTGGATCTCAGGTGATTGGAAGTGGGTATAGAAACATAACAAAAAGTAGAAAAACTAAAAAAAAATAAATAAATAGAAACCAACATACAAACAAACAGAAAAAAGTATAATTCAGCAAGTGAACGGAGTGGCGGTGCATACTTACGTCCGGTTAGAGGGTGCATCAGAGCGGGGTGCGAGGTGGCTGCTGCAGCGGCTGGTTGCTTGGGTTTGCTAACCTTTGTGTTACTTTTTGCAAATTCCAAACGTATGGTTTGTGGCATATCAGGATCGAATTTAACCCCCTGCTGGAAATAGATCCCTAAATTAGTAAAATGGGGAGGAGGGTGTGGTTGAATTACGCGAACGTGAAGGAAAATATTTTACATACAATCAAAATTACTTCATTTAATGAAAATAATTGCACATATTCAAATCAATGAACTCTCGAGTGTTAGTGTGTACAAAACTAAATTCAACATAACAATTAAAAAAAAAAACACTATTTTACACAAACCCCTTTTGTTTAAAGACATGGATATATAAAAAATGGACGTTCCATCCGACAAAGAAGGATGTTTTTTGTACGTCGTACTTGGTTGTCAAATAGTCATTATGTAGTCAGTTAGGTGGTTAGAAACAAAGTAACTAGATTCCAGGGGGTATTTTGTGAGGTTCACAAAGGTCTTAAGTGGATTCAGATAGTAAATATGTACGTTTATATATATATATATATATATATTTTAATGTATATAAGGCAATACGACATTGCAATATTTGCGTGAGGTCAAGTTGCGTGTCGGTGGTTTAAGAAGAGAAACAGAGAATAATAATAAAGTAGTGGGGAAGTAATAATACTCGAGTATAATAATAAAAGGCGGTTAAAAAAGTATAATAACAAACACCATTCTGACTGAAGGTACTTTCAGGTTACAAGGAAAGATTCATCAAGTTTGTATCACACTGTGCATTCTAAATTAATATTTCTTTGTTTACTGAAATTGTTTTAGAAATTATTTTATCCTTGAAAGAAATTTTTATTATAACTAACATGATATTTTAACTATATTTAAGATTATGATTGTCGTCGAAAAAAAATTCTATAACAGTTAACTTTTTTTTTTTTTTTGTGCCGGTATAAGAATTTTACGAATTTAATATAAATTATTAGATGCTGCTAGTCAAAGTAAACTCATCTTTCTGAGTATCTTCAACGTCTTTCTATTTCGTGAAGCGGATTATTACCTGTAGATCTTGTTTCGCTGCCTCAGCTCCTGCTCTCGTGTGAAAGGTCACGAAGCCCACGGGCTGAAAATGAAAATAAGAAAATAATGCTAGAAGAAAAACATTACCAGTATCGTTATTATAAATGCATATTTTTTAGTCATGTCATTTTTTTTCTCAATATATTTAACTATTCGGTAACTTTCATCAGTATGTATTCTGCATATTAGAATAAAAGTTCAATTAAAACAATAAACATCTATCACTAAATCACATTTTCTAGAAACTTCTTGACCAAAAATTGGATTGGGAACAAGGTTCTTCTAAAAATCAATGAAATTAATAATTACCAATCTTGAGAAATCAAAACTAATACATTATTATTATTATTATTATTATTATCATCATTATCATTATTATGTGTATCAATTTCAAGCAAATGAAGATATATTAGTTAGTTTAGATAATTATTCTATTACTAATTGAAGCCTTGCTATGATAGATGATGATTTATTAATATTAAATTACTCCAAGCTTGAAAAAAATCATTTTTCTGTATTTTAAAATACATCTAAATCAATTATTTCAATTCTCTTCCATAATAATTTCGAGTATACTAGAAAATGTTCTTTAGTACATAGATATGAATGTTGCTTTAGTATTTTCCTCCATTTTTTTCCACTTTGTTTTATCCCTCTGCTCCTTTTCTTTCTTATTCTGTCTCTCTGTAGTCTCGTTATTTTATTTCCCCCATTCTTCTTCCTTTTCATATAAAAATATATTTTCCTTCATATTTTTTATTGCTTCACTTTCAGTTCACGCGCACCTACCACAATTTAACATTTATTTATACGGTTTTTATTTCGGCTGAACGCAACTCACGACGAATATTATGCTAGTGGATCTCCATAAATTGTATGATCGAAGAATGAATTGGTAAATGAAAGAGAGAGAGAGAGAGAGAGAGGAGAGGGAGAATTTTGCTACAAGCTTGCAGACCATTCTCGTGTATCGATTCGTGCCTGACCGTGCCAACCTCTATTCACTGTACGAATGTGCCGGACCAAAATGGCTTAACCCACTTAAATAATAAAAATGTGAATTATATTCAAAAATTTTCACCGTTCAAATATTGTAGTCATGCTGTTTTTTTCCATGTACTTGTTTGATTTTTATTTTGAAGGAGAATTTAATCAATATGTTTTTTCTTTTTTTTTTTTAATGTTAATTTGTAGCTAAAATAAAATTTTTTTCAACCATAGTAGTTTTAGCTTTTAACTTTTTTTTTTTTGTTAATATAATCCATCATTCTAGTCTCGATATTACTGCAGTATAGAACCACAATAAATTTTCCATGTAAATTTTTAGCCAATCGATTCATCGTGACTGTCGTGACGATATGGAAAAAAAATGGAGGAGCTTTTAACTTCACGACCCAATTACATCTACACAGGTATAATTTGTAGACGATGCCAGAGGGGGTTAAAGATTACTATGAAAAGATTAAATATAAATATACAAAATACGTAAAACGATTGTTGGATTGATATTACACTAAATCATAGAAACAGATAAAATGTTTTGTAACAAAAAAAAATAATAATTACAACGAAAAAAAAAATTGGAATGAGAAAAAAAAGTGAGATGAGCGAAAAGTTTTGACGCAATGAATGAAAGATAAATTTCCCTCGTGATAACGACAATCAAATAAAAACTTTTACACGAAGTGATATTTTTTTATTTTGTTTAACTTTACTTTAATAAAATACGTCGAAAAAGTATAAGAATAAAAAATGAAAAAAAATAAACAAACTAGAAACGTAGGTTTTTAGTTTAAAAAAAATTAATATTTTTTTTTTAATAATTAATTTACTTACCGACGCTGTTTTTCCATTTTTGCTTGTGACTTTCAGCAGGGAGTTTTCATATCCCTGAAACATTAAGAAAAATCAAATAAATAAATAATCATTCATTTTATAATTAAGATAATATACTGAACATGAATGTGATATGAAAAAAGAACAGTGAATAAATAATAGAAAGGCTGAAAGTTTTCACCGGTGCAACTAAGGGGGAATTTAGTTCGATAGGATTAAATGCCCGGCCCGTGGGGGAATCACAGTAGGATTTTCTATGCGCACCCCTGTCATCTGAACCGAGAATTGTTGCCGGTGGCCAGAGACTATAATACCTCATTGTTTCTACTGGTTTCGCTGATTCCCTAGTTCCACAAAATTCACATCAACGGCCCGTATAAATCGTTATAGCAGACACAGATACAGAACTTTTCCCACACTCGAGCAATTTAATAAAATTTTTAAATCAATTCCACCAACGATATCAAAAGTTTCCTCTAGAATTTCGCCATTTCAAAACCATAATTTTACTACAATTATTTGGATTTCAGAATTTTATTAAGAGAAAAAAAAATGAATAGTGTATTTTTTGCTTTTAATCAAAAAATTTTAGTTTACTTTCAATGAAACAATTATTTTAATTACATCACCTATAATTTATTCACAAATAATATTCTCAAAACGATTTTGGACATTTACGATATAAACAAATATTTATTTTCATCATCAATGTCAACAGCTGTCATTTTAAAAGTCACTTTAAATTAAAAAAAAATACAGTATATCATCAAAAAACAAGTCAATTATTATTACTATAGTATATTTAATTATTAATTTTAAAAATACTTTCAATAGTATAAAATATATTTTATTTTAATAAACTTCAACCAGAACGGATATATTTATCAATATTGTTTATCATGATATGGTATCAATAGTTCACATTTTTTTCCAATTAATAAATAAACTAGCTTAAAATTCTGCAAAAGCCAATTAAATAATTCAAGTACATCCATAATAATGGATAATAAATATGAAAATAAAAATGGAACAACTCGGAGTCAATTAAATTTCTCAACAATCAAATACAAAATATTTTTTATCATCAATACAAAATAAAAATAGAATTATTTTTTAAATTTAATTTAACTTGTTTGAAATCTCACAACCTTGAGTTGGTGAATTGATTTACCATCAAAGTATCTCGGTAATGCAATAAGAAGTAGAATTTTCCTTTGAGATTGATTGTCAGTAGTAGTAAAATAGCGAAAATACTAGGGTTACTAACACAGTAATTCAATTAAGGTACTTGTGAGCTTTATAACATGACGTTAATTCTCTTATATTAGAGTTTGTCAATTGGTTACATTGGTAATTTTAATTTTTTAGTGAGTAAAGTTTCTGTTCGATCCAAGCAAAATGTCATCATAAGACACCTATACTTTTTTTAATCCGACATTGAATTTATTGAAAACAGAAAAAGTTGATAGAGTATCAATGTTTAGCACTGAAATGTAAATTAAATATACTTTACAGCATAAGATATTTTTTAATTGAATAGAATGACATTATTTAGTAATAAAAATAATGATTATTATAATGTATATATTAATACTTGTTTCATGTTACTTTGGTTGCTTTTTTTCCCAGAAAATTGTTATCTACTTCATAAGGCCATTGTATCATTAAATACAATGATAATTTTATTATTACCACGTTGTAATATTTCCAAGTCATTCTAGTGACTTCAATGCTGAAAAGATTACAAATCCTCCGAGAAAACGATTTGATGTTAGCAACTCATGTTTCAAGGTTTTCATATTTTTCAAGCCAAACAATAATTATCAACAAAGAATATGTTTCAAAAACTAATAAACTTTATTTATAGTTGAATTTAAAAAAAATATTGTTTCAATGTATTCAGTTAATTTGAAAAAAAAAAATAACCGCATAAAAAAATAAAAAGTACAAAAAAAGCAAATGTTTGAACAACAGTAATTTTGTGAACGATAAAACAGCCTTTATAAATGGAAAATAATTATTCTGTTGTTGGAATGAAGCAGAGGTTCATCATACAGTCTGCTGTATGGTCTAGCATGCAGAACATTGTTTTCTGTGTTTTATATAGATAAAAAATTACACACAAAAAAGAAAGTTGGCTGCATTAAAATAACATAAAAAAACCAGATGATTTATTTAGTATTATCAGGTGATGAAACATTTACGCCAGATGTGCTAATCAAACGTGAGTCATATCAGCAAATTAAAATGAACTAAAATATCGAAGTAACTGCAAAAAAATTATTTTCTACTATTCAATAAAATATCTCATAAAAGAATTCTCCATATTACAGTTAGTATTAAACAAATGTTGCATGTTCCTAATGGATGAAAACCAGTTACAATAGTAAAACTATTTTCGCCCTCTAATTAGCCACAAGCACCAACCTAACCTAGAGATACGATTATGTGCTAATCAATGTTAAACTCATTAAAATACTTTGTTGACTAAAATACATACATGTGTCATGTGTATTTCAAACTTAACTTTATCTATACCCACTTTTATTTTATTCCTATTGAATTCTAAATGACTATAAGTTTGAAATTACATATAAAAATTATCAGTTCAAAAGTTTGTTTTAAGTGGAACATAGAATTCTAAGTTTATTTCAACCAATAATCACTGTCAGTTCAAACTATATTTATACCCTTGATTTCATTTTTTTATATTGTTTTTGAGGTCAACTACAACCCTTCTATACTAAAGTAATAAATATAGAAAGGAAACAAACTTTCGAAAAAAATGATTTCAAAATTACTTATGATTACCAGCGATTTTCTTAATTTTTTTATAACAGTCATTATATGTCAAATTATCCTAACAACATTCTTCAATTATCTTTCATCTTATTGGAACTAAATAGTCCAATTAATAATAACTTTTATCTAATTTATGATCTTATCAAGAAATTATGTAGATTTAAAATCAATAGAGAATTTCCTTAAATGTTTTACTAAATAAAGAATGTTCTATTTGCATCAAACATTAATTTGCAATCATCAAATGATTATCCTTTTACGTTGGATTGATTAGTAAACATAATTGACTCAATCATCCACTAGTTATTTATAAGATTCAACCACAGAAGTGAAGAATATTAAAACTCGTCTCTTTAAAGGTCATGGAACTTGAAGTATTTTCATTCTCTCCTTACTACAAATATTTCTCACTAATATGCTTTTAATTTTCAGCTAACAAGGCACTGCAAAACAAGAAGAAGAATAAGTACCATTCTAAATTTGATTTATCACCAGGATCAATCCCGTTGTTTAATAAATCATTAATAAGTGAACAAGTGTAGAAAGTCTTGGAAGGAACATATACGAAGTATAATAACTCAAGTCTACGAAAGTAGGAGTATATTCTCGATGGTTGTTGTAAATGCAAGACGCGAGTCCCACGAGTAGAAAGGGAAAGAGGAAGTGGTTAAATATGTGTAGAACGTGAGGAAGCTTCTATGGAAAGTCTAAGTATAATATTGATGAAAAGTAATCATGAAAAGCTTTTACAAAACGTTCAAGATAAATATTTACAAATTTTCCTAGCTCTACACTTCATATTTTGCTTGAAAAATTGGAACTAAATTCTCTGGCTCCTTTCCTAGCTACAGTCAAGTGACAATATGTACAATACGAATACACAAGTTGTAAAGGTAAGTGAGAATGTTTCGTAGCATATGGCATTCCATTCATTCCCAAGAGAATGGAGTTGTAGTAGCAATTAAAACCGGGTTATGGTCATTGAGTGAACGAATATCAACAACATGTCGAGTATGTTGTGCCACTGCACGACCGAGTTTAGTTTGCTATTGAGAAATCAGGAATTGCTGGTTTCAATGTCATCAATCGTTGAATATGTGGTTTCAAAACTTTCTTCCTATTGTTTCAGAATATCAATAGTGGAACCATCATTCATTTAAGAAGTTTGATGTAAGAGAAAATTTCCAAGCTACGTCCAATTAATTGAAAGTTTTTAAAATATTTCCTCAATAAAAATGATTATGGCAGTCTAAGTAACTCTTTCCTAATTATAATAATGTTTAATCATCAGATCCTATAAGGCAAGATGTACTTTGTTTTTAAACAAATCTGAATTTGCAAAGGTAATTTTTGATTTTAAACTTGCTAAAAAAAGGAATTTGTGTAGAGTTTGATTCAATTTCAGTTGAGATTGATGAATTTTTTTAAGCTATTCACTTATTAACAATTGAATCACGAAGCAATGCAAGAAACTAGTTTCTGAAATCGATTAAATTTCACAAAACAATCGAAACTGATGATTGAGTTAAAGATATTACTCGGTTAAGATTTTATTGGTGCCGGAAAGGTAAAATTTCCCGTTACTTGATCGCTGACAATATTATTCCGTATCCGATTAACTGCCACAATAATTTCCGCGGAAGTAAGAAGAATAGAGTCTCGCTCTACTTGTATAAATTTTGCTTGGGGCTTGAGAATCTGAGAATAATATCGTTATTCAAGTGCGCGACAAGCGCCCTCGTTCATTGACATCGACTGTGAGTAAAACAAAGGCTAAAAAAGATGGCAAATATTTTATTAAAGCAAACGAGATTTCTCAATTTCACTACAAATAGTATGATGAATATTTAAAAAAAATTATATACAGAATATAACTCACCTCGTACGCTCTGAAGAGAAGATAAAGTTCTCTGGGTTTAGCGTCCATCGGCAAACCGCTCACGAACAAGGTCCGCACCTGAAACAAGAAGGAAAAAAAATGATAATTGAGTTAATTAAGTTAATTGGTCTGAAGTATAGAGGACAGTACGAGATAAGAGACTGAAAGATTGAGAAAAAGAGGAAATTATGCAATTGTCAAGTAGACGAAATCCAAGATAGTCAATTATTAGATTAAAGAATAGCAAGATAGTTTGTAATGCACTGATGTCGCTAAATTATCATGGATTATTCCTAATTGTTGAAAGAAATAAAACTTTCATTCAGAATCACTGATTGATTGATTAATCATCCTGAAATTGACTATCTGGTAAAATCAACTTTGAATAAATTATTTTTTATTAGCTACTATCAAAAATTAATCCCATCATTTCCAACTTTGAAACTCTTCATATAGAGTATTAGATGAATTGAGTAATTGCTAAAGTTATATCAAATTATAACAATTTTGAATAAATATTAATTTCATTCCATTACTATAAAAGCATGGACTCCTCTTCTATTATTATAACTTAATAATTAGTAATTTTTTTGTATTTTTAAATAAAATGTAAGAAATCAGTTCTGAATATGTTTATTTAGGTACGAAATAGTTTTGTGGTGAGATATGAATAAAATTTTTTTCATAAATAATAATCTCATTTGAAAAAAGTGACAGATATTAATGTGTACAAATGTACCATTTGGGGTCAATAAACTCATATACTGTGACATAAGATGGATTTTTTTGTTAATTTATGAAGGAATGAACTCAAATAGTGTCATATTATTATCAAACATATCAATTCTAAAAATATTACAATGTGAAAAAGTGTAAAAAAATTTCTGCAGACTATTTGAATGCACTAAAGTGCTAGTGATATTTAATTGTTTGCCTAGCAACCAGCTGCTGAGAATTTCTATGTGCTACATAACGAGAACAATAAGAACATTCTTCCCATGAAGAAAACAATTTCTTGTTTTTTTTTTCTCTTTTATTTTAGTTCTAATTAGAATCACTGGAGTAGTGAACTCGATAAATTTAGCAGCTCTTCAAAAGAACTAGTGACCAAGTTATATCATCATGAAGGAAAAAAATAATTATCATATATGCTCATACCAATTAGTGATGAAGAGAATTTTTCAAAATATCCTATTAAAGCAATTAATTCATTATTCTTTACACAAATACAAATAAATTCTATTTCATTAGCTATTCACATTTACCACCATCAGTTCAAGTCTCTGTATACTACACCAGTCCATCTCTAATTGATGAAAAAATCACCCCATCATCTCCAATTGGTTCAATAGAAGTCACTCACAAACTAATTGACGAAAAACCTTGTCCCAGAACATTCTGATACTAAGCACCAAAAATAGCTAAATAAATAAACTGCGTAATTTCGCATAGTAACAACCGTTGCATACATAATCCAGGGTAAAGAAGGACAATGAATCATGTATGGTAGGATTTGGAGTGAAACGTGTGCAATTGACCGTGATGTCGTTCGATCATCAGCATTGTTCATCTTCCGATCGATCGAAATATGTTCACTGGTTGCTGTGTTCCCTTACCTTTCGTACTCCTCTATAATTTCGTGAGTAAGCTACTTGAAATGTTACGTTTGTGCCTATCCGTTTGTCTGTTATGCTCCCTCGTGACAACTTGCTAGACAATGCTGATCATTATGGCCTCCAGTCACCCGCGCGTCTGCTATAGTTTCTCTCACTCTTTATATATCTCTCTCTATGGTTCATTCTGTCGTATATAATAATGACACCGCCTCTAAGGAGGCCTCATAATTGCGTCAAACGATCCGGGAATGACGTTTAAACTGTCTTGGAGACATTCCACTTTTGCAGAACTGAACAAAGATGACGCCATTAAGGTGAATCTTTATTACGATCTTTCTTAAACATTACACAACGATGCACTGAAATTCTTGGTGAAAACTAATCTCAGTTATAATCGTTATTTTGGATACTACATTTCAAACAAATGAATTTGAAATGGGGTTGAATAAAGAGATGCTGCTGAAAGTTGAGAATATTGCCTTAACGGTTATAACGTTCTTGTTTATGGCTCTTCAAGAAACAAGTCCTGTTCTACTCCTATTTTCCTGAGAATTCAAGTTAATCTCAAGTCACGGTTTATCCGCTAGAGTTACTCAGCAATTCGAGAATGCGGCTGGAGATATTGAGCACATCGATCCCTAAGAGATGCAAGACTTATTCTGGGTATAAAGTTTGCTATGGTTGATTAGACTCACAAGTCATCAAAACGTTAGCTGGATAAAACTTTTAATTAGACACACCGAGTAATTATGCCTCATCTCATTGGGGAGACAAAAAAAAATATGTTCTACCCAGGAAAGCTGAGATACATGAATTCAACGTGTGTGTTATATATCATGGACGAGCATGAGTTTCTGTATATGTATTATGGATGTCTGTGTGTTGTGTACCATCATGAACATGAGGTCGACGAAGCTCGAGTTCTCTTGCTCATCCAGCCCCAGCTCCGGTTGTTTATATTGTCCTTATACTAGCAACCGGAATCACGCTTCTCGGATTTTCAGCTGCGGCGATATCCCCACCAACACCTGGTAGATTTTACCGTGTACAACATTGTTAGCTGACTGAATTAAAGCTTCTAGAATTTATCGAAAAGCACCAAATGTTTGTACTATATTTTATACTTTTTTTCACAGCCATATTTCATTTTGTGCCCAATTTTTTGTATTCTTAAAATGGGATCCATGTCGAAATATTTTTGATCAAGATTACTATCTATGACATAACATAAACTTTGGGGACATTTTTTTAGAGATCAAGATTTTCGAGAATATTTGAAAGAATTTTATTATCGCAAAATATCTTGAGGGTTGATGATAAAGTGGCTATTGAGAGCAATTTGAATTTAGAGTTGGATAAAAAGTTATACTATTTTCAAACATCAACTGAGAACAATTTTATGATCATTTTTATCATCAAGAGTCTAAATTATTGCTGATTCAAAGACATATCCTCTTTAAATTAATTATCTTCTCTTCACAACATATTGAACATCTAGATCTTGATCTTGGTTTTCTTAAATATTAAATCAATCACTTCTATCACATTATTATTCTAAATAATGGATAAACAAATCTAATGTAAATAATAAAACAAAAGAGCAAATTCAATAATAATGATATAATAAAGAACAATAAAACAGTAGAGACATTTACAAACCACAAAGTCAACTAGAGAAAATTTAGTTAGTGGAGTGTGGGAATTTTAAGCAGGGTATAACGAACATTGAATCGTGAATATAAACTTGGTGAAATTTTCGGTTTTCTCTCTCACTATTACCCTGTCAACTGAATATGTCGACACCAGTAAATAGCATGGGATCCATGCAGCAGCCAAAAAGTTTGTTGATTCACCAACAAGAACATCGTACAGAACACCCTCTAATATACATACACACACAGTTGGTCATATTCGACATATAGAGTACTATACATATAGCATAGCCACTATATTACCAAACAAGTAGAGTTTCGTATAGACAAAATGGAAGGGAAACAGATTGAAAATTTATGTGAGGATCGACGCACATGGTGTGGCAATATCATTGGTTTACTACAATGCATGCAATTGCTTTGACCTCATACGTGTTTTTTTATTATTGATGGACTTCCTTGCTATTGTAGAAGTAGAGCACTGTTTTTTTCTCTATTTACTGATTTAGGAAAATACAATACTTGTACAAAGTTTTTTTTGCTCCTGAATTGAGTTCAATTCGACTCTTAAATAAATTCCTATCTCTTATCGTATGCTATTGATATATAAATAAGTAACAATACCTTTGGTGAATCTTTAATTACTGCAACATTGCATTTGTTTATTTATAATGTTGTTAAACAGTGTCTGTGTTAAAACACAGGGTGAAATAAGTTGAAAAAAAATGGCAACAATGAGTTAAAGATAGAAGTATTTATCGAAGAGGTATTCTGATAAATGAAATTGATTTCATAAGCGTTAAATTTAAACCTTTTTGATTATTTGATGAAATTATTCATGAATGTATGAGATGGTGGATTCATATTAGAATACAATAGAAATAAATAGCTTGAAATGATTTATTTTTAGAGCCCAGATACGAGGATAATAAAAATAATCTTCATTATTAAATCATTTTGAGAGAATAAAAACAGAAATTTTTATAAAAATAAAATCATTTTCACAGTAAAAAAAAATCTGTTAGTCATAAAATTTATTTTATTTCTAATCCTAGATCGAAATTTTATGAAATAACATTTTATAAGTCCTATAGGGAACATAAAAAACCAATTGTTTGTTGGATCTTAATCCGGATTGTTTAATAATAGAACATAAAACTTTTACATGAAATTCGAAACGTATTAACTTTTTCATATAAAGAAAAAAAAAAATAAAAATCAATTACCAGAAGGTTGACAATATTTTTTAGAATCAACACAAATAATTTAATAGCAATAACTGGAAAAAATATCTCTTTTAATTTACAACAAATTTTATATCATCTGCTATTTTTAAACAACTAATTAATCAATAATTTGGAATGATATTTTAAAATTGATGAAATTTCAACAAATTGGATGTTAAATAATGAAAAAAATTGGAACACTTCACTTTCAATAGAATCAAAATAATATATAGCCAAAGTGAAGGAACGTTTTATGTTCAAAGAACATGTAGAATTCTTCAGATAAAAAAATATGAATATTTTAGCATAGTGGAAGACTTATAAGGGAGATTAGATAGCACAAGGTATGAAGTTTTAATTTTTAAAAAAATGTCTGATATATTTCCTGTGAGTTTATGATTATTTAATGACTAACTTTACAACCTGCCAGGTCGACTCATATCCGCCATCTTTCTTTGCAGTCCATCATTTTAATGTATCATAAATGATTGAAGAAGATCTATGTGCCATATACTGCTAATAGTTGAATAAAGAGCACCTATAGCTAGCCCATGTGCATAAAGTCAATGCAAGTTGGATTTTTA